TGGCTCCATAATGTATCAATATATTTTTTTTTGTTATGATGCCAAGATTAACATTACAGGAATTTGCACTAATAGGAGCCCTTTTATTAAACTAATTGCTTCTTCTCTCAGTTGTATTTTTCAGATTCATGAAAATACAACAAAAAAGAAAGAAAACTAGGGTAAACCTTGGTCAAGCTTTTTAGAATTGGTGCTGACCCAGGGAGGTAGAGGGGCTGCTTTCCCTCTGGATAGCAGGGCTGCCAACTTTTCACCAAACCTTGGGGTGAGATTTTGAAATAGATTGGACAGGAAACCTGTCAGGGTTAGATGAGGACAGTTGCAGCTATAGGTTGGAGGTTTTCAGGGGATTTAAATTAAAAAAAGTGACAAAATGTTTAAATTATTATAGCACAGTAAATGTGACTGAATAACAATAGGTGGTCTGTAGTTATGTGGAACATTTTTCTCACCTTATACATTATTTTCTACATTTCTATCTATATTCTAGTGATATTTAGGGAATTGAAGTAAAACAGAATGGGCCCTACTAAAATACTTGCATTTTAAATATACTGTAAACTAAGAATTTCACAACTTTGTTCATTAATTATTCTCTGCAGTTCAAGTAAATTAAACAATGGGGAACTAATAAGCTATTACTGGATTACTGGCACTGATAAAGGAACCAGTGCAATCGAAACCTATGCAAACTACACTGTGTATGAATATTTGGTAATAGGCTAGGGGTTAAAAAGCTTCATTCATTATGTTAGTTGTTTTCTTACATTTGACAAAACAGCTAAACAATTCAGACCTTCCAGGAGGCTGTAGATTTTATAAAAACTCACCATGACAGGAGACAGCACTTCTCTGCATGTTTCAGTTTGGAAGGTATTCCTAAACATATTCAATGAACCAAAATAAAGATGAATGAATAAGATAAGTAATATTAAAAAGAAGAACATCCCTGTGGTTTCTCCTCTATGAATCCTGGATAACTGAGGTGTTCTGCACATCCACTCTGGATGTGGTTGGTCTTTTCTTGGGTGGCGGATCTTTTGAAAAATAAAATGTAATGGTTATTTTTCTTTTTGTGGAGTTCCTATGGGTTTGAGAGGCAAACCTGAAAGCTTTAAGAATTAAAACATTTGTGTCGGTTTAATTATTCCTAAATACCAATGGAAGATTATTCAACAAGACAGAGCAATAATTATATAACTTGTGAGCAAAACATGGACTAAAACTGGGACTAAAAAAAGCACAGGGTAACGAGAAAACAAACCATTGGATGTGATCCTACACTCAGTTCCACATCAATAATTTAAGGTAGCTGCTGTATTGTTTTATTCATATTTCCTCAAGTTCTAGATTTCTTAAAATATTCAATAATTTACAAAGAGAATTATCATAGTCCAGATGAGATAAGATAAAAATTCAAAAGACATACTTCAGAACAACTGCCTTTTTTCAATATCTAGCACATTGAATAGGTGGGAATATGGACTGGATATGAATCTGGCATGTCCTTGTGATTGTAGTAAAAACGCGGACTTGATTCTGATCGCCATGGTATTTTAACACATAAATAATTGGAATGGAGATGAGTTTTAATGTCTAACATTTTTTAGTGTGAGAAATTGGGAATATGGAGTGAGAGTGTGTGAAGACACTGAAATGGGTGAGTCTCACTCCCAATGGGTGAGAGTTGACAGCCCTGGGATAGGTCAGCCAGATGTTTGTTCATTTGACAGACCTGGAAGACAGACTGGCAAACGGTTGATTACTATTGGGAAAATAGTAATGTCGCCCAGGGACACTTCGATAAAAAAGAGATATAAAAATATCTCTCAGAGGCGCCAAGCACAAAAAAAAAAAAACAAAAAAAAAAACAGGGAGACAGACAAAAGGATATATATGTATATATATATATATATATATATATATATATATATATATATATGTATAATATATATTGTTGAACAATTATCAAGTGGAACAGCTATGATGGTCCGCTTGTGAAAGCAAGTCTCTTGGGCTATTATCTAGAAGTGGAACATCGATTCTCAGTGCTACGTTGTTAACAGGAAAAAAAACTCTCCACTACTGATCAATATTTGCAACCAATCATTGCAAGAAAAATAAGGAGATCCATTTGTGGTTTTGTTTAAACAGTATTCAGTAATTTACCTCAATGGTGAATAGAAGCATACAAAAGATATATTCCTATATTTGGGAATGCCATGCGTTTTGAATGTCTTCATGCAGATAAAGCACTACATTATGGCTGTGATGCAAACATAGATGAACAGAATGATTTAGATATCTGGTATCCTTTTGGAAAAAAGCCAAACATGACTCCTGCAATGTGTCTGCATAACCATTAGAAATAAGGTAGTTGCACCCCTGAGTGCATGTGCACCAAAAACGTGATCACAAAAGACAAATCCAAGGTGGAACATAAATGAGAGTTGAACATAAAATGTTATGTTCTGATGTTTTTTATTACAAATATAAAATTTGAAAGCTAAAAAAAGCATCCGTTTCCATTCAGTCCCCTTGACTCTGATACCTCTCCGGACCAAGTAAAACTGAAGGCATTTCAAAGTTACCTATTTATTAAACATGGGGAAACATGGCGACTGCAGAAGCATTTTGCTGTAATTCTACTGCAAAGCTAATCTGTGTTGATTGGAAAATGGGTGGAGCTAAATGCTGGACAATCCAGGAAGAAACTTTGTTAGATGTTGCAGAGACAGGAGTAATTTTAAGAAATGCATAATTTTTTCCTCTCTCTTTAATGAATTCTTCTTCTAACACATAAAATTAAGAAAAATACTGAGGCTTGTGGTTGAAACGTGACAAAAGGTAAAAACCAAAAAACTAGCAACAGTACCTCTGCATGGACATATTTGTATTTAAAATTTGAGATTTACAGCATTAGCCAGAGTAAATCATTTTAATTTTAACTGCTCTTTTGTGTTTCTCATGCAGATGCTCCAATAAAATTGTCCATTGAGGTGAATCGTTCTAACCCTTTGTTGGTGGGAAGCAGTGTAAATTTGACCTGCAAGAGTGTTGCTAACCCTGCAGCAGATACCTACACCTGGTGGTACAGGAGTAACGCTTCCAACCCCAGCTCTGATCTCCAGGTGGGTTTGGGGCGGGTCCTGAGCATTTCCTCTTTGGAGCTGACCCAAACTGGAATGTACATCTGCCAGGCCCAGAACCATGTGGGACAGAGCCGTTCGGCTGAAGTGCTGTTGACTGTGGAAGACACAGGTGGGAACATTGGAGGAACAGAAGTGTTCATGTTCAGTTATTTATTTGGGTTAATTAGGGTTTATCTTTTTAAATCTCAGTTCATCCATTGATTGTCCTTGGGATTGGAATCAAGGTAATTTTTCTGCTCACGCTGCCATTGGTTATCATCTGGGCTTGGTAGGTAACACAGAAATGGTTGCTTTCCTAACATAGAAATGTGGAATCGCCTGGTTAATTGAGGCCTCTTATCTTGTTATTAAAGGAAACACCGGTCTTGTTCTGAAGAAGACAAAGAGGTGAGCACAGGAGCAGGTTCTGGTAAAAACAATAGAGTAAAGAACAATATGCTACAATTTATGTCTTAAACTATTCTTCTTATTTTCAGAAAACCAGCAATGATTATGAAAACGTAATGTTTGGGTGAGCTTTTGGAATGAGGGAGGAAACTGAACACAGGAATCATAAAAACGTTGTTGTACCAAGTTTTAACACATGAACAGAACAGGCTTTCTGAAAAAAACTAACCATTTACAGTCTCAATGTACATTTCCTTTTTTTGTGATGTCTAACACTGATTTTCCATGTAGAGTAGATGATTGCTGTTTCAAATAGTATTGATGGTTTTTATTCTATTTTTAAATTGAATTTAAATATTGGTTTTGTGTTACATTCAGTGGGGGAAATGTGTCAGACACTTTGCAGCAGCAGCTTTCGACCATCTACTGACTGTTTAAAAAAACCAACACTGCCCCCTAGAGTTTGAATTTCATATCTGCATGCTCAGAAGAACATACAATTAGTGTTTTTTTTTTTTATTTATTTATCTTTTTTTTTACTTAAAACCAAACATTATCTGTTCTTAGTAGAAATTGCCCTTTAATGGTTTGGATTAACCCCACTTGGGATTAAGCATGTCAGAAAATGTATAGTGACTGAAATACTGTAATATAGCTTCATAAGCACAGTGATTTTAAGGCAAAATGCCAATACTTTTAATTTGTTAATTATGTTGGATATATTTCATGTTTTATCTTTATATTAAAATTTCAATGATATTTTTTATATAAAAAAGTCTATTTTTGTTACTTAAAACCTTTTTTATTATAAACATGCTAGATCATAGAAGTCTTTCATCAAAAGTTTAAGTCTAAAGACCTTTTTTTGCTACAAAACAAAAAAAATTCAACATCCCCATCCAAACCCTTCCCCTGTCATTGGTATAAGCATAATCCTCTGATTCCCAATTTTTTTTTTTTTTTTTTTTTTTTTTTTACCAAAACTCTTTATACATTCCATGTTGATTGTAAAGGCCGCTCTAAAAACAAGCTGATGGGGCTAAGAACTGATCTCCCAGGGCATCCTGTTACTGACTGTGTGGAGTCACTGTCCTCTTGGTTTTTATCCTTCCCCTTCTCTTCTTGTCCTGCAGAGTATCTACCAGAACCCAAAGTTTATTTAGTTACCAAAACATGTCTGACTGACTTCAGTTTTTTTAATGAACATGTGCTGACTGTCATTTATATCACAAAAATAGACCAACCATTTTGCATCACGCTATAAATAGGAGCTTCCTTAAGATTTACTGAATAGTATTATTTGTAGACAACCTTTCAGTTCACTATCAAAGACAACAACTGCGGAAGTCATATGCGGTTTGCATCTTTAATTACCCATGGTTGATTTCCTGTGTTCAAAGTCACATCTGTTTTTATCTCAACAGCCATGTGCAGATCACCCAAAAGAGACAAACTCATTAATGAAATGAATACAACAAACAAGTTGTTTTAATTAAGTTAAAAAAGAAAGGTTTAGCACTCATATCATTAACCTGAGAAATTATTGAATGTTCAAGGAGCTAAATGTGGAACTGAGACATTGTTTGGGGTCTGGGGTGGAATTAGGCTCTTAAAACATTAAAATATTGCCATGATTGTAAAACTATGCCTTATGAAACATTAGAGGCCTAAAATCTAAATTTTCCATCATTATCTTCAAAGCAACAGTCGAAAACACCCTTAGCCCTTACACAACACCGAAAAAAATAATGCAACCATTTTTGGCATTCACCTAATCATATTTAGTTACTTTAACACAATTGTTTTATGTTAGGGTAGGACATAAAATAATTGTGATAAAGTAACTAAATAAATGCCAAAAGCGGTTGCATTAATTTTTTCAGTGAATGAGTTGTGTAAGGGCCTCATTTCTCATTTATTTGGACTTATCAGAGAATGTGTAAGAGCAAAATGAACAGTCCTACTAACAGAATGTCAACTTCTGAAGTAACTCGACTTAGAAGACATTATAAAAGGACTTTAAGTAGGGTTTGATACATGGCATGTACAGCTCAAATCTAACTATATCACACCAACCCAAAGTACAACTTTCATCTGTATATAAAAAAAGCCAAAGCAGGACAATTTCATCAACTGATAATTTAAACCCCAAAAATAAATTCATTAGTAAATTCCAATTGGAGATGCAATCATGAAATATGTCTCCTATCTTGAATAGATAAACAGGTATAGACATATTTTGTTTTTACTTCAACTTTTTTTGTAGCAGATATTTGGTTGTATTTAGTCAGACATAATGGAAATCTACATATCTAATTATGTATTGTTGCACAGAAAATCATACTTTAAACTCTAATTGGACTTCCATATTTTATTTTGTGCTTTGAGAATAAATAATCTCAACTTGAAAATGAAAAAAAAAGTACACACATACACATTTATATATATCTACTGTATATAATTTTTTTTTTTAACTTTAAGAACACATATGTATAACTACTTTTATTCAAAAACATTATTCAATTTATAATTAAAATCCTTAGTTAAAAAAGATGAATATGAAGCCTTATTGTTGGGTTTTGTGTCGATAATAAGTTGGTATATTATGTAACTGCAAAGATGGAGTCATGTTGCAGGATGATCAGACACGTGTTGGTCCCCTCATGTATCCATTAGCTCTTCACATTTGGGTTGCAGTATAAAAAATGTCTGCTTTCAATCTGTGTCATTAAGATTCTGTGACAGTTGTCCCAGTCAGGACATATGAGCGATGTCTGGCTTTCTTCTTCCCTCTGAAAGCAGAACCAAAAACAGTTTTGTTTTGTAAGTCTGCAGCTATTTTGGTCATGCATGTTCACAATTGCATAAACACCACTTATACACACACAGGTTGATGCAGTTTGCTCATGCACAAAACAGCTACCACACTTTGCATGCATATCATAAAATGCTGCAGTCAGAGTTCTGATGAAAATTAAAAAAATAGATCATATCTCCCCTATACTAGTATCTGTTCATTGGCTTTCTGTTAAATCAGGAATAGAATTTAAAATCCTCTATCTCACATGTAAAGCCTTAAATGGCCAAGCTCAATCTTACATCAGATATCTGATTGTTCCTTATTTTCCTAACAGAGCACTTCGCTCTCAATCTGGAGGTTTTCTAGTGGTTCCAAGCATTTCTAAAAGTAAAATGGGAGGGAGATCTTTCAGTTATCAGGCTACTCTCCTGTGGAACCAACTACCAGTTTAAGTCAATGAGTCAATGAGTCAATGCAGTCAACTGGTTTACCTTAGATAAAAAACTTTGAATCAATTTGACTGCATGATCTAGTTGAATTGTAAAGTGCCTTGAGATGACATGTGTTGTGAATTGGCGCTATATAAATAAACTGAATTGAATCATTTGTTTTATTTATGATGCCCTTTTGACTCGTAGATGCAGTAGTTTCAGCTTTGTTATTGTACAATAAAGGTGTTTAAAGTGGCAAATTACTGTACAAGGAGAAGGGACCCACCTCATCAGCAGAAAGGCAACTGTAGCAACAACAATAGCCAGAATCCCAACAGTTACTCCAATTAGGACCATTTTTCCTCTCAATGAGTCTGATGGAGTTTTTGCTGTACAGTACAAAGCAGAGGATTAAAGAAAACTACATTTTACAAACTGTAAATAGAGCCTTGTAGAGGTTGCCAAATGGCTTAAACTGTCAATGTTTGTCACATAACAACCACAAATTGGAATGAATATTTGCCTGAGTGAATTTTACACAGGACTAATTTTTAATCGATCCATCTTAGCTCTGTATGTTCAAGATAATTTAGCTGGTGAAAGTAAATCTCTGCCAGTCTTTGACAGTTGTTAAAAAGTTGTTTTCAAAGCTTAAACTATATGCCCTCACCATACTTTAAACTCTAAAGGGCTCTCATTCTAGGGCTGCCAACTCTATGAAAAAAGGGACACCTCATGTGCGTGCCAGATGACCCTATTGCCTTTACTTGAATGCAACGACTGTAGGCTACAGTTGTAAAACAGAAAAAAAAAGAAATAGCTCAATGCCACATCATGTGGCTATAGCCTACTTTTCCACTTGTATTTCCTCTGAGCTCTTGCAGCGATGAGGAGGTGTTTGTCTTTGAGTGCAGCAGAGTAAAACTCTGAGCAAGACAGGTTATTATTGAGGTTGAAAATAAGCTCAGCTTTAATTAACTCAGTGGAACATTTGTTCCACACATTCTTCATTAAAAAAAAAATCCTATCAACAACATCAGTGGAAGAAGGGATGCTGAGGACAAAGGACACAGCGGGACAAAGTGCATTCCTTTTCCACTAAATACGGGATAGGTACGTCTATATCTAAATACGGAACAATTCTGTTTTTCATGAGATGGTTGGCAACCCTATCTCCTTTATTGGCAGAAGACAAACTCTCCCATATGATACTGCTAGTAACGTGCATTAGGCAGGGAAAGGGAGTTGCATTATTTTCTTTTGCCACTTTAATGTTCTCCATTTTGTAAAAAGCTACCCAACCATTAATCATTTTTTTCCTACTTCACAAATGTGCTGTATTTTTGCTAGCTCTATAACATTCCAAGTAAAAAAGGTCATGGTTGATTTACAGTAAGGTGAAAATGCTTAAGCAGTACCCTTCACATATTGCAACTCAAATACTAGCTTTATCAAAGTTATTTTAATGCAATTTTTTGTTGTATTTTGTTATTTACTATGTAAGGATAACATATAGTGCTGGGTAATTAATTGATTTTACAATATAACAGCAATTTAGGAAAATAAACATTTCAAATTGCAAGGCTATAGATTTTCACGTTAAATTAAACTGAGTAAGACACTAAATTTCTCCCTCCAGCCCTTTAGGTGGTGGTAATGAAAAGGGAAGAGGAAGTCGCACTATCGCACAGATCCATGCATGATAGTAGAAGTTACACGCAAAGGTTACAGTAAAGTCCTGAAACACTGGACTCTGAATAAGCAAACTATTTCACCTTTTGACAAAATCGTTCAGCCCTACTGTAATCATAAACGATAGAATTTTTAAATGTCTTTCAGTACACCATTTTCTTAGCTTTAAAACAGAGGTTCATCATTTACTGTACCTACCTCTTGAATTTGTTATGCTGAAAGTCATGCTGTCAGATCCATGTCTGTTGCGTGCCACACAGCAGTGCTGCCCACACGTCTCAGTGGTAAAGTTGGCCATGCTGAATGTTGGGCCTCTTCCTGTTAGTGTAGCCTTGGTTCGCCTTCCTGGATGAAAGCTTTTGTCTGCAGTCGGTCGACAGGCTTCACCCTGATACCAGACATAGGTGTCCACCGGTGGGTTTGCCTCACTGCTGCAGGTCAGAGTCACAGGATAATCGTCTCGGGCTCCTAAGATGGAGATACTTGTGTTTCTAGGTGGGTCTAGAGGAAGATGATGCAAAAGGTAAATAAGTAGCTACAAATATTAAAGATTTAAAATAATATATACTAGATATCACTTTTTTATCAAGTAGTAGTAAAGAAAAGTAAAAAATATTTTGAATGGTTTCAAGTAAAGTTAACAATTGCATAGATTAGCTTCAAGGTTACTTTTTACTTACAATGCACATTAATGGCCAGAAAGTTAGATTTTTGCATCTGATTTCCAGTCTTCATTTGGCAGTGGTAGTTTCCAGATTTTTCAGGTGTGACGTCACGGATAATCCATACCTGTCCAGCATGTAAAACCCTGCTCTCTGTGCTCTTGTACCAGGTGAACTGGCTTTGTGCAGTGGCTGCTGGGCTACAACAAGCCAGGCTTAATGCAGCACCCTCAGACACAATATGGGATGGACCTGCTGAGACTGCAACAGCTCCGAAGGAATCTGCTGAAAAAAGTTTGGGAAAGGTTTTTCCATAAAGAACATATTTTCCGGGACAAAACCACATGAACATAAAAATATTTAGCAGGTTTAGCAGTCTATAAGTATAAAAATGTGTATACCACGACCAGAAGCAGCTTCAAACTTATCTACTAGTAAATACCGATATTACTATAACTCAAACACGAGTTTAATAATAAGCAAATCTTAGTTATATCAAAGAACATATACTAGCAGTTTAAACATTTAAGACTTATAACTATATTAAGTCAACTTGCACAGGGATATTTATTTTTTCATTTTGACTGAATATTAGTTGTCACCCTTGCAGAGCAATAGACATGTGACTTGGTAATTTGTACCGGTAGTTATGTGGGACCAGGTCATGCTTGGTCTGTTGGTCCAAAAACCAGAACCCTTTTAGGTCATTATTGCACTGGAAAAGCATGTCCATGAAAGTTCTGACCTGGATCAATGACCAATGGCCACTCTGCCAGTCTCCAACATACACTGGTAACAAGCCTGACTGGCAATGAGGACTTGGACTTCCTGGAGTGTCCCTTTTACAGGGCATCACGAGGAACTTTATCTCTTACATAGGTGCAGCATCTGAGTGCTGTCCTCAGGTCCACAAAGAAGATAAAAACCGGTTGGACAAACTCCTTTGATACCTGGATTAAAATCACAGGGCTTCTCCTGAAGCCAAGGTTGGACTGTTGGACAGAACCTCCTCAGTGGCACCTAGACATCACTTGCCGCGGCCCCCACTTTGAAAACCAGGGGCCTAAGCTAGCATGACTTGACTTATAACTAAAGACTTGAGTCCTACTTGTTCTTAACAAAACGGTATTTCAGCTCCACTTTTGACATGCAGACTTAAAAAGATGATTGAGGATAACAATATCATGGGACGAATAAGGAGATGACACAAAATGAGGAACGAGAAAACCACAGAACTCTTGCACACAAATACTGCACTTAGACAGAAAGGTCTCTGTGGTCAAACAAAGGAAGAAAGAAAACACCCCTTCCCAAAATTAGCTGAGTCATTTTGTGTCTGAAGCAGCGATGATCTGCAGCCATCTATTTTAAAACCTTTAATTACTCCATCATAACTGTTTTCCAAGATTTGTTACTGTTTCACTGTTACTTCAGCTTGTTTTTTGTGTTTTGTTTTTAATTTGAACTGTTATTTACAATTGGTCAGTTTCACTTCTGCTTTCTGTGAAATGAACAGAGTCAAACAAAGGTCTCTGAGAGGGAGAATTATTTGCAAAAACAAAACTAGTTGAACTGCTTTTTTTTTATTTAGATTTTTTCATTTACTGAGTCAAAAATACAATACTGTCGTATATTTTGATTTCAATTTTAGTGGCCAACCAAACATGGACTCATGTTTTTGGCAAAAAATAACAAACTTGCAATGAATTACACTAACTGAAAGATTAACCTAATTGATAATAACAATAAATGAACAGAACCAGTGTGACAAAGAGGCAAGATTAAACCATGTAATCTCTTTAATTTTTAATAAACCAAATGAAGAGAGAGTAAAATATATATGTATAAATATAATGAGAGAATGGAGAGAATATTCTCACCTGCTACTAAGAGTTGTATTCCAGTCTGTGGAGGCATCTTCTCAGTCGTATGGTTGGTAATGAGGTAGAACACGTAGGTTCCACTGTCTGACTCTTTGAGATCAGAAATCCTTAAAGAGCAGTTCTTGGTTCCAGGCTGTCCCAGATACTCCACTCGGTTCTCATATGATGGATCAGGGAAGATACCGGCACTGTGGAACACATATCTGATACACACATACAAACAAACAAACTTAAAACTTTAGATTTTACTGGAAATAATGTCTTGAGTTTATGTTTTTCTGCCATACCTTCCTGTAATACAGCGGCTGTCTCCAAGACACCACATCTCAGACAAAACTTTGTATTCCAGTCCCTTTTCATTGCCTCCTGTCTAATTAAAATAACACTTTTTAATTTCACAATTGCACTTAACATTAACAGGAAGCTTTTTGAATAGTTTTACTTACTGGAGCAACAGCAACACCTAATCATTGGTGATATTTATAAATTCTGACCAAACAAAGGTTGCACAGTAAGCAATGTCCGTTGAAAGGACTCTGGCTACAAGAAACAATGGCTTCTTTATTACCTGAGCAGAGAGTGGCCCATCTGCTTTGAATTGGTCAGAGCTAAGTGGGTAGTCATAGGAACAAGACAGGACTACTGAAGAGCCAACCACAGCACATATGGGACTGGAGGGGAGGTGAACTGACCAATCACCAGCTAGAACACCTGTGCAAGTTAAAATAGGTGTAGTAATACATAAAATAAATACAGTTAATAAGAGAAGTATCAAGTTCTAACAGTGTCATAAAAAATGATATTTATTCAATTCACATTGATGTCTCGATAATTCTGGAATAAAACAGAAATATTTTTACCTCTCATGCAAACAATGATAAGTAAGCAGCAGTAGCTTTGTTGATGTGCTATGAGCCCACCATTGATGTCCATCTTCCTGTAGCTCCACAGTCCTTTTCTCTAGTTAATGTTTCTGCAGGGGTCTGGTGCTTTTTCTGTTGTCTTCTATCAGTGTCTGTTCACTTCTCTGTCTCCAGGGCAAAAGTGTCTAAGCGCTTCAGCTTCCCCTTTGTTTGCTTTACCAACGAGGAACTTGGCTTTTGTCAATCGTTTCATGTCATCATCAGAAGGAAACTGCTTCATAAGAGTTAGATTTGCTTTTTGTGTTTTTCTCACAGCCTTCTAAATGTGTGTGAACCAAGCTGCGCACCTGCTGAGTGAAACACTGCCTGAATCACTATTAAACTGTTTAATTAGGCTGCTGTTTTCAGGTGGGGACAGCGTGTCCGTCACAGGTACAGCTCTCATGCACACCTCGTCCACTCAGGGACCGTGACGTCACTCGCGCCCCTCTCGTGCGCAGCAGAGCGCTCCCAGAAGAAGCAGACCGCAGAGAAAAGAGCGAAGGACGAACTTCAAGTAAAAAACCTCCAGGAAGCTCGTTTTAATTCCCCCCCACTCCTCCAAATGTTGTTCTTACAGCTAGAAGCGGGCGCTGGTGGTTTTGGTTGATGCAAACGGACCAAACTTTGGCAAGAAACGTTGCTTCACTTTTTTTTCCTTTTTTTTTTCTTCTCTTTCTCCGGGGTCAGTAACCTGTGAAGAGAGGAAAAGAGAGGATATACTGAAAAAAAAGGGATCTATCCCCACTGGGGCTCAAACTTAGTTATTTGTGGGTTATGTTTTTCACATTTTTCAATTTTATTTAACTTCAAAGGGAAAAAAGACCCAAATCCACCTGCTATAAAGGAATACAGGTGAGTACCTTGAAGAAAACGTATAGTTTACTACTAAGTAATTAATAGTTAACAAGTCATTTCTGGTTAAATTAAGCGAATAAATATCCAATAAAACAGGATTTACAGAAATAAGACTAAATTATAATTCTGGCTTCAATTGCATTTCAAACATTTGATTTATCCTAACTGTGTGCAACACTTACCTTGATAATTAAATATGTTATATTAAATCGGTATGATTATGATATTTCTAACATATTATGCACATAGACGGAAGTCCACAGCAAACAGCAACTGGTTTCTGGAACCACATCTAGCTGGATTTTTTTTTACCACTCCTACTTCACAGAATTAGAACTATCAGCTGATCTAAATCTTTCAGTTTCTAAACAATAAGATGGCTTTGAATCATGTTTTGTATCTATTCAATAAGACTGAGATTTGATCTATTCCACATGCGTAGCTGGTCTTTTTACACATTTTAAGTCTTGTTTAATATGAGTTGTGATTGTTGACCTTATAAAACACTCAAATGTCCCTATGCTTCCACTTCCAAGCTGCTTATTTAAGAAGAAGTAGAATGATTAGGAGAGAGATGAAGGATGATGTTTCTATCCGCTTTAAGCAGTCTACTAATTCCCTTGTGGCAAAGCAGACCCTCAGCATTATGCTACCATCAACGTGCTTAGCAGCTGGTACAGTGTTAGGTTTCACAGTCTCACCTCAACGCCTATGTGTGCATATTCCTTTCCCCGCAGATGTCATTCAATTTTTCCATGAAGCCTGACAAATTTTACTCAAGCTTGAAGGCGTAAATTTCTGGTCAGAGGCTTTTCCTTTGGTTGACACCATATCAGTCCAGGTTGATGTTAAACTGGATTTACTGAAGGGGCAACATCAGATTTGAAGAATCTTCTAAAGTGTGCTTGTGCCAAAGGTTGTTCCTAACCAACCTGACCAATGGACAGTTATTTTCTAAGTGTCACATGGACACCGTTCCCCTTTAGCCCTGCTTAATACATGCTGTGCTGCATGTCATATCCACGCCTATAGCCAAAGCAGATATTTACCAGCTGCTGAAAGCCAAAACCGATGGGAGAGAATACAGCCAGATCAGTGGCGGCTGGTGAAAAATATTTTTGGTGGGGCTGATATAGCCTAGTGTATGTCTCCAACTAATCCGGAATAAGAATTCAAATAAACAATTGGACAATACATACAATTTAACAGTAATGATTTAATTTACTATATAATAACAGTAACAGTGATGATTTGGGTCACTGTGACGGGGTTCTTTGGCCTCCAAGAATCCAGTCTCAGTTACCGGTGTTGGTGATTTATTGAGCTCAAAAACTCAAAACAGCGTGCAAAAGAAACTAAACATATACAAGATACTCTGGGCCTCAGCCTCCCTCCAGTTACCAGCAATGTAACAAAGAAACAGAAAACAAAAATTGCCGCTTTTCTTCCCACAGCCCTCATTAAATAGTTTAAGCCCCTACCCTCAGGCTCTCTTATTTCTGATTTCTTCTCATTAATCAGTTTTGTCCATATATTACCTCCACAAACAATTGATGTACAAAAACAAATAATTTTTACAACTTAATTCTTTTACACAGATTCATTGACTTATTCAATTACACCAAACTGGGTTTGAACCCAGCAAAGACGCAGCCAGACTGAAGATGACAAGTCCCCGTAGCATAAACACGTACACCCCCCCCCCCCCCCCCCCCCCACACACACACACACACGGCTAACCCCACTGAAATATTAAGTGTGCACCCTCAATACGCAGCAGGTAACCAGGACAGCTTGTGTGTTTTAAGTTCATGGAGCTACTGGGCTCAGCGCGAGTGTATTGGTCCTCACAAACACAGTATAACAGGAATGTGTGTGTGGCGCGCAAAGTTAGAGAGGTTGTTTTAAGCGACGAGGTGGATTCGTCACAGTCACAATAACCATGACAGGAAATGTTCATATCCTACAACAGGGATGTTCTTCTGGCAAACGGGTAGATAAATAAGGATCTCACCGAATTTGGTGGAAGCTGCATCTCGGTCGTTACATTCGCCATCTTCCCTCTAATTGTCTGCACCTGCGCTTGGGTGCAGAAGCCTGTTAAAGCGCAGTATTTTCAGCGCCCCAAGACCATAAAGTTCCGAGACGCTGATTGGCCATTAAATTCACCTAGCAATAGTACATGATTGACAGATTCTCTGCAAATGTGGGTCAGTCTGATCAGCGCCCCAAGAACAGAGACGGTAGGAGTCTGTCTGTGGAAATCCACAAATGAATGACAGTAGATAGGGAAATGTAGTTTATATAATTTGTTTTGCTTATAGGTACACAGTCTAGAGAGTAAAACTGACATTTATGAGTTAATTTCTAAAAATATATTTTACGTTTCTCTCTTCTTATCAGGGAGGGCGGTGCCCCAGCGCCCCCTATGGGCCGGCCGCCACTGAGCCAGATCATCAGCATACTCGAAAATGATTAACCAGTTTTACAGATAATACATCCAGTTTTATAGCCTTTAGTTTATTCAACAACCCATCCATGTATTAATTAAACAGGGTTGGAAGGAGACACTTTCCCTGACACCAACCATTACTAACACCAGAAGAGGCAGATTGTATTTCCCCAGTTTACATGCTGTCTTTTTACGTGCATCCCATGGTTGAAGTTCATTCATTTTATTGTGACTTATCAATTATCTGAGAGTGGCTGACCCTGATCAATGGCTTAAAAGCATCACTGAGCCCAATTTACATGGATGAGTTTTTCCTTATGCCTACATAGCCTCCATACGGCCATAAATGTAGAAATCAGTTCCCAACTTGGGTTTGAAATTAAACTGATTATCAGTTGTGCAACTTAGCTGATTATGCTGATCAAGCAGTACTTAAGATGTTCTGCTTTTCAGCTCATCATTAATAAACTCTGCTGTAGTTTGCTATACTTTATATAGAGTGATTATCACTGCATATGTCCTAGAAATAAGTCACATATTCACTTTAAACAAATTAAAATGAGGTAGAATGGTGCTGTCCTCAAAGCTCTACTATATAACCAATCCCAGATACTGGGGAGTAATGTATGTGATAAAGTTCAGAGCTCTCACCTCAGCCCAAAAGCCAGCAAAGTTGTAAAATACCAGCTTGTTACATTTCTTTCCACATTTTCATTTGGACTTGTAGGTTTTTTAACTCCCTTAGTGCTGCCTTAATGTTCAAATACTACTTGCTTTCATCATCGTAGCCCATGTTCATGTATGACGCATAACAGATTCACTCAGATTCATGCCCCCATCTTGTTCTCTGCTATCCTGGCAGTACTGATTTTTCAATTTAATTAAGCTCAAATCAGTTTATTTCAGTAGTGCCAATTCACAAAACATCACACAGTCCAATGAAAGTTTGGTTAAACATTTTCCCTCCAATGAAAACCAGCTGATAACATCCAGTCATTGACTCCACAGGGTTCGCTCATCCTGGATGCATGTGGAGTAGAAATAAACAGTAGACATTAACTTGCATGTTGACTCCACAGCAATGCATCACACAGAGCATGCATGCAACGACAGTGAAAAGGAAAATCTCCCATTTAACAGGAAAAACCTCCCCAAAAAAGCAGGCTCAGTGTGATTGGCCTTCTGTCATGGCCAACTGGGGTCAAGATGACAGAGACAGACATACGAAACAAACATAGATGCACTGATTTATACAGTAAATACTTTCTATACTAGGATAGGTAATGGTGAACTAGCTTGGTGGCTCTGTGTGTGGAAGACACTGTTAATCATACGAACTCTGAACCAGTTCACATGCTAAAAGGGATTAAAGTGAGTACCGGTAATTGTGGGTCACCAACCAGTTTCCCTCTTCCCATGTTTTAATAGGTGAACTTAAACTATCCCACACAAAAACCTTTCCCTCAGTGTCCCTTGACATCAAGTATTTTTTCAAAAATTGTCTTGGTTACACTTTAAGGAGCTGAACTAATTAAATGTACTTTGTCATCATGGACAAAAATCAGAGGAATGCAAAAAAAACAAACAAATGGAAGCCCCAGTTTTTCTTCTTATATAGGTTTTGATTCAGTAAATATTTACTGTTGTTTTGTAACATTTTTGTTTTATGTGATGTATTTTCTAGGTTTTCAAAAGTACAATACGAGGCACAGTAGCTCAGCCCACCTGCCCAGCGTGGTTATTTAGAAGAAGGGACGAGGGAAACCACTCTTATCATCGTCTATTGCTGCTCTGATTTCTCCTGAGCACAGATGTACGCCGAGAAAGTCGTGACCGAGGGGAAGATGGGTGAGTGTCCAGCTCACGTCGCACACCTTTGGGTTCACAGTTTTCTCCCAAATCAAGTCCTCTAACACACACAGAAACGCACAGATTAAACTGCTGTGGAGGTCATGCTGTTTTTTGGATTTGTGTACAGTCGTTAGTCCACTTTACAGTTAAACATTAACTGGGCCGTTCAGAAATGCTTTGCTGTTTTTTTGATGTTCCCTGAATTTATGCATATGTTTGTTTTTCATGTTGGATATGCTTAGACTGATGTAATATTTGTCTTATTCACTACAATATATTTCTATAATATATACTATGTTCAAAAAGAAATCATCACACAATCTGTCCTCTGCATCTAGAACCTTTTTTTCCTGATTGAAGCAGTTAGAGTATATTCTAGTTGTAGGCTCCAAACTGCACAGTGTGACACAGAGTGTGTTTCTAATCTTAAAGGGATTTATTTAATGTTTATTTAATGATTTTTGAAGTGAGGATCTGTGAAGTAGGTTATCATCAATCATATTTTCCTTACCTGGAGCAGAAAGATGTACCACAGCCATTTTAGCTTACTTTATTAATTTAAATGTAAAATTAATGGCATTTACATGGTGATATGGCTCTGTGGTAGTGATATAGACAGTTTTGGACTTCGCAGCAGACTGTTGGTGGGGTTGGTCTGACTAGCTGCCAGCTCTATCATTCCTTCAGATCAACTGCTTTGATAAGAATGGATTCACCTATTGGATTCTGTGTCAGTTGTGATGTATTGCTGAAGATGTTATGCTATTAACTTCCCAGGTGTTTATGGTTCTTTGATTCAGACAGACTCATCATCAGCTGATGAGATCATTTGACAAACAATACTTCAAGAATTCATTCACCCATTTTTTTGCTGTTGCACTTTTCTGGTGCTGGTGGGTGAGAGGTGGGGTACAACCTGAACAGGTCGCCATTCTATCACAGGACAACACAGAGACAAAGAGGACAAACAACCATTCATGCACACATTCACAACTAAGAATTTAGAGAAGCCAATTAACCTAACAGTCATGTTTTTGGAGTGTGGAAGGAAGCCAGAGTACCCAGAGAGAACCTACGCATGCACAGGGAGAACATGCAAACTCCATGCAAAAAGACCCCGGGCCGGGAATCAAACCTTAGTGGTAAAATGTTGCTTATAGTTCTTTAAGCATTTCAGTTATAACATAAAAAGATGCATTGAGAGTATTACTGGAAAAAAATCTTTCAAAATTGATATGTATTGCATTATAATTAAATTCCATATCAATGATATTACCTTAAAACAGTTTTTATTTTTTTATTTCAATACATCATCTATGATCACAGCATTTGTCACTGAATGATATTCTGGGTTTTATCTAGTTTGATGTGTTTTTGTTTTTTTAGGCAAATATTTAAAAAATGTGAAGTTGAAGAAAGTTTATAAACATGGTAAAATAATTGTCATAAGTTTCTGTAGGCCTGTTGTAGGTATTCTTGGAAGTCTTTCTGAGGCTTTCTTATTTTTTTTTTTTATCGATATTGAAATTATATAGATATGGCCAAAAAAAAAAAAAAAGGAAATATATCATGTTTTGAGGTTTTGGCCATATTTTCTAACCTTAATCTACAGATAAAAAAAAGTTAGAACATAGTATATCGAACGGTCAAATATCAATTCCTACAGAATATTGTCACAAACAGCAGTGCATAGTTTTCCTTGCATGTTGGATGCTCGATTTGTTTTTGAATTAAATTGCAAATGTCTATTAAAGTGCAACAAAACCCTTCTACTTTACTGAAGGTTTTTCCTCATGTATTTTAAACAATTATAGTAACAATATATTAATCAAAAATTTGAACAGCTAATTTTAATTCAGGCATTCGAAAAACAACCTACTTTGAAACATTTGTGTTTGATATGCTAGTCAAAATATATTGTTTCATAAAAAAAAAACTGCAGAGAAGTTCATACCAAACTCTAAACTAACAGTCCTTGATATATTTAAGCCACAGCCAGATACTTTGTTTATCATATTCCTCATAGTTTTACTGCAGCATCATTTAAAACTTAGTCAATGCCAGTAGACTTGCAGTTTTCTTTTCTGATAAGTTTTAACTGACCCTGCAGCTTTAAGACATTTGCTGAGTTCGAATTCATGGGCTGCATCCTCCGAAGGCCAGATTTGTAGGCTGACTACATCATAGGTCTGTTTGGATTCCTAGACTCTTCGTTATGCAGACGAGAAATTTATCCTTCCTTTAGCCCAATTTATGGATCCAGTGTATCCTATGTAGCCTTGGATATACCGTGATTCATTGCAAGACCAAGCAAGCCGGCTGCTCCATGATCAGAGGTAAAAATATACTTGGCGCTGAACAGTGGTGAATATTGAAAGTATAGTTTAATATAATACAAGTATGTGAATAGTTCCATCTAAAATTAATGAAAATAGTTGTTTTCAATGGTTATTGAGTCCGATATCTGGTAGGTAATGTTTGGTTTATTTAATTTATTTTATCTGTCACTGTGTAAATGCGTTTGGCTGATATTTAAGGACAGATTCTAATATATCTGTAGTGTTGGGGACTATAAATCTGGTACGATGCAGCTGTTGAAGCTCCTCGAAAATGTTATTAACCCCTTAAAACAGCAGTTAAAAGTTTGTTATTCACTGTTTTCATGCTTTGTGTGTCAACTCTCACAGTTGCTAGGCGATAGAGTGAACGGTGATAAAAGCCATGGAAGGTTGGACCTGTTTGAATCCACAGCCCGAAGAATCTAGTCCAGGTAGACCAGGTCCTTGGAGGATGCAGCCTTTGAAATCGAACACACCCTATCTCTCTTTCTCTGTGCTGCTTTTTACCCATTGCTGTCTCTGTCTATTACTAATAACTGCCCTTTGCATCCATGTATCAGGCTATCATTAGTGGTAGCCACCACCCTGAAACACAATGGCTTAATAGATAAATATAGTTTAATGAAGCCTCCAGACAGATAATTTGCTCCAATTAAATAAAAATGTATTCTTTGTAATAGCAAGATTTAATAGATGTTTTAAATACTTATATATAAGGTGGATAAAAGAAGGCTGAGAATGAGAAAATGCAAAGTCTGACAAAATTGGATGAAAACAGAAGAATTCTGCTCACAGCTGCAGCCTGTTGAATGCAATGATGGAGAAGGATTACGCAGTGTTTGTAAAAAAAAAAAAAAAAAGGTTGGTAAGTTAGGGGTCAAAGCTTGAGGGGGTTTGGTTCTCAGAATCCCTCTAAGAAAAGAACTACTGACATGTGTAGAATAAACCAAAACCAGGTGCAGGGTCTGCTTTGCTGAAGAAAGACAGAAAAGAGGTGATGCAATTCATAGAGAAATGAGTTTGAAGAATTGAAAAATAAGGAAGGAAACCTTGGTGATGGTATGTGTCAGTCTTTAGTATCATGCTGATCAACTAGCTGAGCAGGTTGCAAACAAATCTACCACATTTATGGTTTAAATGATAACATCAATATCAAAAAACACAAGATGAAAAATGTCCCAACTTGAATCTAAAGGGAGCCAACTAAACATTCATCCTCTTTTGTAGAAAATAAAAATCCTTTGTTACTGATCTACTGTGTTCTGTAACATTTAACACTTAAATTGAATTTACCCTTTTGTTCTGAATTAATGAAAAAAAGAGTTCTATCTTTAGCTGATCTCTCATCTTTGCTCACATCCGTTTCAGTTTTTGTCACACTGATGACGGCGGGATTGCATGTAGAGCACAGTGTTCAGGCGCTTTAGTGATACAGAAAACTGTTACTTTGAAAGAACAGCTCACTTTAGGGTTTTACTAGAGCAGGATTAACAACATGCTCAAAGCTCTTCTTCCTTCCGTTCTTTTGTTCTTTTTTAGGTATATTTCTGTTTTCACTTTGGGTGCAGATGAACCCGCCTGTGGTCTGACATCTGCTCAAACCCACAGGTCTGCCAGGGTGTTTGGAGACGCCTCTGCACCATTTGGAGACTTGAGGAGTTTTAAAAACGATTTAAAACGGTTTTCATTAGAGGGGTCGGTCTCACTGGTTTGATTTAAGTTGCTTTTTTTTTTTTCTTTCTGGTATCACCATTGAAAAATAGTTTGTTTGCTCTGTCATATGACATTAGTCTACAGCTACTGCAGAAAATGACTTCACAAAAGCTCGCTTCAAAGATCTTGGAAATAATCCTTTAAATATCTCAGCACATTCGTTTAATCTGTGGATCAAACTAGGAAGAGATGTGTGTTTACAGGAACTAAAATCCTCATGAAGTATTAGTAATTACACTGTAGTACACTTCAGATATTATTTTTTCCATATCACATCCCCACTTTTGTAACTATGAGAATTTCATCTTAGTCCAGGACTATCAGCATCGACTTATACCAAAGTTGGAAAGTAAAGGGAACAGAAATGCGTGCATTACCTAGGTATTTTAAATATTATTTTAAATACATTGTGGTTTTCTTACTCTAGAAGAGTTCAGTGTTATGGATGCTGTGGACTGAAAAGTAAAACAGCTGAAAAAGCAGGAGGCACCTCCAATTAGATAAACAAAAAATGTCCTGATAGTTATCAGGTGACTGGACTACATTTACCATTAAGCTGTTCTTCCTGCACATATCAACAGCATTCACATATTATAGCTTACCTTTAATTAGGATTGAAATAGATGTTTTTTCCCATCCAGTCTTCTCTGTCCTCATGTTCGTGCTGTGACTGAGTTTTGGTTTCTGAGCTTTGGTTTTCTTAGCTTCTGCTGCTCGTCTGAGGGGAGTAAACCATGGGTGCTCTGAATCATGTGTGTATAATTAGAGGAAACATAGTCTAACTTAGGAGGGGCATATGCTGCCTGGATTATTTTTGGTTTCTTCTGAGCTGAGATGAAATGGGTGGGCATATTTTGAGTTAATCTGTGTTTACATCTTTCAAGATCTACTTATTCATCACATGGGTGTGAGCGATCAGGCAAACCCAGATGTGCACAGTAGCACTCAGGCATATGGTTGTGTTTATATTTACTTTGTTCCTTGACAACCACAGCATGAATTACTCAGAGTTTCTGCTATGTCTTGATGTTGTTATGTGGTAGGTCTTTGCTTAATCCCAGTATTGAACACCAGGCTCTGTCTGACTATTCTCCCTTATGTCTGACTATTTGAGACTGGCTTAGAAATCTATTCATTGTTAAGTTCCTCGAACTGTAATTTAAACTATCAATATTCTTTGAAATTCTGCTTGGACTTAAAAAAAAAATCAACCCCAACTGAGAGAGATTTCAGATCTGTGACAATAACTTTCAACTGATAAACCTGTTTTCTAACATTATAGAAAGATTAGATAATTCAACTGGACCTTATATTTCTATTAGAACAATCCTAAAAGTGAACTTTTTGACTCCAATTATTTGTAACATGGTTGTGTTAGTTTGTATTAAAATATGTCTACATAAATAAAAAGTCTGTTGATCTTGTACATAACTCAGTAAGTCGGAAGAAATAATGAATTACTCATTCCACTGAACATTTTTCATAACTTATAAAAATATCAAATACTTTTTTTTACTAATAATTGAACTTTATTGATCTCACATTGGAGAAATGTACCTCTGCATTTAATCCATCCCCTTGGGGAGCAGTGGGCTGCCATTGTGGGGCGCCTGGTGAGGAGTGGGTGGTTAAGGGTCTTGCTCAGAGACCAAGAGTGGCGGTCTGTGGGAGCGGGGCTCAAACTCAGTACCTCAGGATTCCAAGCTCTATGCCCTAACCGCCTTTTGAATACCACTCATGACTCAGATTTATTGCATTGAATCAAGGATTATATTTATTATAAATCCTACCAAAGTTACTTAAAAGAAAAGAAAAAAAGACACCAACTTTAAAAATTTTGATAATATAAAATAATTTAGAGGATTTCTTAGAATAAAAAAAAAAAAAAACACTTTCAGCTTCTTAAGATTTCAGAAAGTAGAGGATCGCAAACTGGATGCAATCCAAATCACTTATTTTTAAACAAAAGTTAGTTGGTTTAGTGTCAGAGTCTGATAATGGCATGGGAAGCTTAAACAGCGATTAAACCAAACTACGAGTTGGCCTAATCAGCCCAAGTCATGAAAGATGACAGAAATAACTTCTATCTTCTGCCTGCATGAGTCATCCACAGCTCATGGCAAAAGCAAATAACTTCAGTTCAGTCCATGACAACAAATGCATTGGAAGAAAAACAGCAGATTCTAAAAAAAAAAAAAAAAACTATAAATGCAAAAAGTGCACCTAAAACCTTTTTTGATCACATACAGGTGTGGTGCTCAGACTCAATCTTCAAGGGCTCCGGTTTGAGCATCTCTATGATATATATTTTATATTTATGAATCTGTTCACTCAGTAATTCACTTGTTTTTGGATCAAATTTCAGTCTATTTCCAAAATTAGTAGGTAAAATTCATAGTATTTTCTTTTCTGTTCAAATGAACATTTAACCCAGGCTCAGGAGAAGGGCCTATGCTCGACCTCTGCTCATACAATTACATGCATTGTGTGCATGTTGGCATGCTTTCAATTTTGCACTTAAAAAAAACTGTAAATCATGACAAATTGTTATTATATAAATATTTACAGTTTGTTTATTTGCCTTATCACTATAATGTATGAAAATTACTATGGGGGACGCATGGGGGAGTAGCTTGGAGCCTGGTAGGAAGAACATTCTGCCTGGGGTCTTTCTGCATGGAGTTTGCATGTTTGCATGGATGGATTCCCCCCGGGTACTCCATCTTCCTCCCATAGTCCTAAAAACATGACTGTTAGGTTCATTTGTGCCCCTAAATTGCCTTCAGGTTTGTGTGGATTCTTCTGTGTTGCCCAGCGATGCACTGCATCCCATAGACTGCTGGAGAGTTGCTGATTAAAAAAGAACCTATTTTGACTAGTGAGCAATTGGAATGCATATATTGTACTTTCCAGAATGTACATCGTCTGTTATCTGTTTTCATACAATGAAACAATAAGTCACAACAGAGGACTTACCTTATCTTAAAAAAAAAAAAAAAGTTTCTTGTCTATTTCTGAGTAATTTGACTTTTGGTTTATGTTTGTTTTGTGTTAAGCTAAAGGCCAACTCCTGGTTTCTGCCAATAATCATGACACCTTTATATGAGATGTCCTCATATAAAGGTAGACATAACAGATTTCTTGATCTGTCTGACTGGAACGACTTTAGTGTGAGAGACAAAATAGCAGGAGATATAAAGCTGAGAGAATATGAGGAGCTGGTACAGTAGGTGGTTTTTCCTTCCTGTTGGAATTACTATGGTTGGGCTGAACTGTGGAGGTAAGGTTGTGGTATTTCCATCCAAACAGAATATCAACTACAGCCCTGGAACGTCCTGCTGATAATATGTGTAATGAGTCACTATCATTGATTAAATACACACCGTGCTCCCTTCCGCTTTACTTGATATCATACCTCTTTCCTGCCCTCTCCTCTCTGTTAATCATAGTTTTATGCTGTTATTATGTTGAATTATTGTTTGGGTAGAGGACAGGTACAGAGAGTAGAAAAAGGAGACCAAAGAAAAGAGAGAAATGGAGGCATGTGGAGAAGGTAACAGGGTCAGGCAATTATGTAAGATTTGGGGTAAAGGTTTAGATTTAACCAAGACGGTGCCTTAGTTTATAGATAACAAGCAGAATTAGAGAATTATTTTTTAATGTCAAACTGTGTGTTTCAGCAAAGTACTGCAAAGTTTACTTACTTCTATTAAAAACCCAAAGACATTCTCTTACATTATGATCCATAATGCAGAAAACTTGGGGGAAAAAATGCTTATTGCTGTCTAGGGTTGTCACGATACTAAATTTTTCAACTCAATACCGATACTAAGGAAAATATACGATACTCGATACCATTTTCGATACCACAAGGATAAAATTTCCAAATTTTAACAGAAATATTTTGATTAATAATTAAAATACAATAAATAAATAAATACAATAAACAATAAGAACAACATTTTGAGGTTGTTTGCTGTGCACTGTATTTAGCAAGCTTGATAAAAAACTTACAAAATTAAAATTAAGTTTTCCTTACTTGGCTATGCTTTACACACATAACAATGACACTAGCCAAACCGGTTAAGAAACAGAAAATAATTTTCAGCAGCTGCACCTGTTACAAAAAAAGTCTGAAACTGAAAAGTGCACAGAATATTTCAATCACACAGTGTTCTGAAAGTGCATTTTCCTCTATTCTGCACTTTAGATGAATGACTGTTTAGGTGCCACTGGTACTCGATACTTTTGAAAATGAGTATTGTATCCGGATACAGCGTTTCAGTATCGATACTTTTTTGAGTATCGATACTTTTGACAACCCTATTGCTGTCTTTCCAAGCTTGTCTGGTCCAAATTTTTAGCAAACTATCTCAAAATTACATTCAATAATTAAATTAGATCAATTCAGCTCACATAGAATAATATGTTTGAACTTTGTTGCTTCTGTTAAGACCTTAACATGAGTGGACATATAAAGCAGTGTTTCTCATGACAAAATAAAAATACAATCGAAGAGTTTTAGAGAAATGTTGAGTTTATAAGGTAACACTCACAGACACCCTTCGCAAGGAGGGTTACCCACAACAGCCCACTGCAAAAGAAGCCGTCTGTTCTTAAGGTCCATGTATATTAACTGAAGGTTTAGTGGAAGGAAGACATATGGCAGAAATATGTATCTGAGCAACATAGACAACAGAAGCCTGAATGCAACAACTGCTGAATTTACTATGATAACAATGATCAAATCAAAGCTATGTTGTTTTTTGTTTTTTTTTAAATATATTGTCATTTTTCCTTTGCACTGACCTCAAATATGTAGATGTTTCCTTGTGTTAATGGCCTTGAAAGTAGGGATGCAGGATATAATCGGCCCCCTATCGGTATCGGCCTTAAAACTGAATATCGGACATCGGCCACCCCACCGATATTTAACCCGATATTGGATCAGCTTCTGAGTTTAAAAAAGTCAAAAAAAAAAAAATACTACTTGTTCTTCTTCCTCAAAAACTTATTTTTTACAGACTTAATAACTTCACCATAATAACATTAAAATATCACAATATCTTCATATGCTGATATATTGCCATTTAAAAATACCATATCAATCTCTTTTACTAATGAAATATTGCTTTATGTCATCGTTATGCTACGAAATCCCCCGAAAATTCACAAAATTTTGCCATATTTTTATATGTTGATATATTGACGCGGTATCAATCTATTTTACTAACAAAATCTCACAAGAATTTGCAAAATATCACAAGAGTTTGTAACAGAACGATGAAATTTCACGAGATTTTGAAAGTAAAATAGATCGATTCCGCGCTTTTAAAAATCTATTTGATATCAGCATATGAAAATATATTTGAGTATATTATTTTTCAAAGTGTCAGAAATGGATAACAAAACTGCTATTTTCAATGACTACTTATTTTTGTCCAGCTTTAACATCAGTACCGATATCGGTTATCGGCTACATGAGTTTCAAAATATCGGCATATCGGATATCGGCCAAAATCCCAATATCGTGCATCCCTACTTGAAAGTGTTCTTATACTGAGTCCATTGTAGCACGACACTACAGTGCTTACTTCTACTCTCATGCATCTACATACAGTTTTCTCCTTTTTAATTTCTGTGCTGCAGCAAATCCTTTTTATGTATATTACCACCACTTAAAGGGCTGTAGAAAGTCAGTGTCGTTTATAAGTAATGTGACCAAAATTTTGTTTCTCTGGGATTGTGATTTGTTAAACTGTGATTATTTTGCAACTACAATTAATTGCCCAGTCCCACTGTTAAGCCAGTCCTGAACTAGAGACCAATCATGTCTCAGGCCAGTACTGGTTGCTGAACTTTAGAACTCATACAATCCTGACTTTGGCATTCATACTATAAAGCTGATAGCAGGTGCAAATGTGGCACTGAATGCTCTATTTAGGCAAATAGGGATTTCTCCAGTGCTATGGAGTTGGTATTATTCTAGATTTCTAGATTCTAATCTAGATATTCCTTTTAATAGATCAAAAGGATTTTTCTTGTCCTAAACTAAGGGATAAAACCAAATGTTTTTTGATAGTTAATGCAGTATATCCCAAATAAAAAAATCAGTAAGACATTCTAACATTGCTTGGAGAAAGCAATGAGTAAAAAGGCAGAAAAAGATGATGTTTTAGCCTCGGAGGAAAACAATGTAGCATGCAAGCATAAAAACTACAGCAGGGCTGCAGATCACTGAAATCATAGGGACATAATTTCCGGATTTAGCATGAAAACAAACATGAATGTATAACTCTGAGAGGAGAAGTAATAAAGAACATCTTACTCAAAATACTGCTGTATGCAAATGCGTCTCTGCAGATTAGAAAAGAAGGTGTGTATTACCCTATACATTCATAAAGGGTAACTGATTGTGTAATTATGTACTGCTAGTGTTAGAAAATACATGCAGAATACAACTCCTGATTCTGAAGCAAAAAAACCCAACAAAAAACAAAGAAGTTTAAATCTTGACAAAGCCACCATACATAAAACTCGACAGCAGAGAGTTACCTCTGCTGTCGCAGAGATAGAATTTCCCTGGTGGAAATCTAAACATTAGCCATTGTATGCAGAGTGGCATGTCCTCCCTGAACTTGTGCTGCTTTTCTCTTGGCAAAGGCTTTTATGCACAGTTTCAAACCATGCATCCTAGTTTAACTTGAGGCTTTAAAATGGGTAAGAGAAAGTGTGCTCATGTTTTGATGTCAGATAATGGTCCATTACTCCCAATTCATCTGTAACTTGAGAAACTTTTTATTTTTCCAAAGTGAGAATATTTTGCTGGTCCTCACTTTTTTTGGGTTTTTTTTTGCAACTGATTAGGTTTAGGTGAGTTTAGGTCAGGGTGAGGTACTGGTAATTGTTAGGTTTTAGGTTTAGTGTTATCATCACGGTTAGGGCTTAGAAAGGGTTGAAAATACCTAAAAAGTCCCTGCTGAATTTAGCACAATGAGTGTGTTTGTAGTCTGTAGGTGGGGTGCCACCCTCTAAACCAACTTTGGGCACATGAACATTTTTCTGCAACACTGAGTAAAACATAAATTACCCTAAAAGCTACATTTAGAGCAACACTTTGTATTAGCTTCATTTGATAAACATAAAATGATTTTTCAGTACTTGTCGTTTAGAAATGCTCGGTGTTTGCTGCTCTAGCTTCAGAGGGTCAGATCCATTGATGATCCATTGATGGATGGGTGTGGCTATGCTGAGCTATCTGATTTGCTCTCAGGCTGTGCTCATAGGTGTTACCGCAGGCCCAGGATATTGTCTGCTGCGTTACTCTAACCTTGATATTGATGAAGGCCACTGGTTTGTGTAAATAGGAGGTAGTGTGAGGCGGGAATGGACAGCAGCTGACCATTGATGAATGTTAAACTGCATGTAATTTTCTTATTTGCAAAAGAAAAATATATTTTTGTATGTATTTGCATATTTTCTAAAACCATTTTGGTTCTTCAACAGAAAAAGTCTTTAAAAGTGTGAAATATCTACTTGAAGAGTCTGTCAGTAAACAAACCATACTGTAATGTAAAACTCAACTGAACATACTTTTCAGACCCAATAAAGAGCTGAAATGAGCTTGATGAGAAGAATATGGGTATCCAGAGGCACACACTCTCAGGCAGTATGTGCACCTGAGACTGACATGGCACTATATCCTAGTTTTAGGAGTTTGTTCTTGCTTTGAGGGTAAAGGCTTGACTTTGCACTATTGATTAAATCTGCCATTTGTACTCTTCACTTTGTGCCAGTACATGAACTGTCTGCCTCCTCACGTTGGGACAGTCATTGGGGCTGCTTGTGTGCAGATATGGTCTAGTCTAAATTAAACATTAGTCTGACCTTTTATTACTGTTGTGTAAAAAAATGGTTGCTAGGGACTTAGAATCAACATAGTTTAACCTAGATGGATAGATATAACTATTCAGGGATTGAACTTGTTTCCACAGCAGAACTGAAAGTCAGAATATTTAGCAACTGGAAGTGCAACTCTCCGTCTTATAGTACAGGCACTTGTTAGGATTACCAACATTTTCTTTTTCACTGAATAGCCAAAAATAATTTTTTTTAGAAGTTTAAATTCAGATTTACCCTTTAACACTTTGAAAAAGCCCAGAGGATATGTGAAGATGTACACATGCGATATTATGAGACAAAACCTTAGACACATAAATTCTTGTTCTGACATCATGGAAAGAAATTTAACAATCTAGAAAGATTGGGAAATATGGAACCCCACATGCTCACATACTCACTTTTTAAAGACTGATAGTAGAGCCAGATATAAACAGTATAGAAATGTCTATCCATAGTATTTTTCAGAAAGGAGAGGGCCTCTGTGGCTCAGGGTGGAAACCTTTGATGCAAATAGCAAAAGTCCTTGTGAAGATGCTGGCTGAAGCTGGTCAGAGAGCCGGTTTCCACTGAGAAACAAGCTGAAAGGCCACATGGAGGAAAAAAAGACATTACTTCAAAATAAAGCCAGATTATTGTCTGTTTTTGTGGAAATTGTTGTTCTCTGATCAATCTGAATTAAATTTTTGGATCATATTGAAAATATATATTTTTAATAACAATATGATGTTTTCAAGCCTGTAGACATTTTTCTAGCTGTGATGTAAGAAGATGACAACATCATGTTCTCAGTGTGTTTAGGAACTCTTTATCAGAGCAAGAAATGTCTGAATAAATGAGGACACCTGCAAACCGGACCCAGTCATACCATGCCTATCAGGAGGAATGGGTCAAAATTCTGGTTTTGTTGTGTAGCCTCTGAAGGAAAATATGTTGCCTGATTCATCCAGTGTTTTGTGCAATTCTAGATACTTCTAAATTAATTAATTTAAACGTGTGAGTAAAAAAATCATGTTTTGTGGCATTTAAACCAACACAAAGTAACTTTTCATTCATTGTAAAATATTCTTATAACTATTGTGATTATAAGTCGACTTACTGACACTGTTTTGTTTATGCTGCAGATTTGCTGCAGATTTCCATGAAGTTCATGCGGTCTCTGTTAAATCATCATCATCAAAAACAGAATTGTATCTATGGAAAACAAAGATCTGAACTGACTTGTACGTCTGTTGTGTGCAGGGAGCAGGGGCATCTCTCTGACCTGTGTGTTGACCCCATGGCGGCTGATTGGCGTTTTTGCAACCATCATAACCATTGGAGCCATTGGAGCTGCAGTCTGGGTCGTAGGTCAGACTACATAACTTTCATATTTTATGATTCACCACGTTTCTCTAAGTATATCACAATAAATTGCTGTATTTGATTTTCTTTTACACAATTTCTATGCACAGCCTACTGACCTGCTGTTTATTTATATTTCTTTAGTTACCTACTGCACCATGGAGGAGGACACAGGACTCTATGATGGTAAAATAGATTACAGATAATCTAACAAAAATCTGTTTGTCTAATTTTATGCAAATATAACATTTTAGTAAATCCGTCATTATTGTTTACTGTAAAGCTACAGGATATTAATAATTAATCATCTAAAAAATAACCTCTTAAATCTAAAAATGAACACTAAAGTCAACTGTTTCCCTCCAGTTCAGGTAAATTCACCCGACCAACATCTCAGAGTGTTCGACTCTGCTCAGAAGAGGTGGCGTCAGGTGTGCTCCTCCTCAGCCAATGAACTTCTTGCCAGCATCAGTTGTGAGGAGGTTGGATTTGTCAGGTGAGATCATTATTATTGAATCTCTTTTCTTATACATTACAGAAGCCATTTGTCCTGGCAGCTTGATGACCTCCAAACTCATCAATCATTCTGGGTCTTTTGGTTATTAAGGATGCAATCCCACTTTACAGAAATATGTGTTTGTTAACATGCAAAGAACAAAACAGGTGTTTCTCACTTTAAACCTTAAATACACAGACATTTAGATTACATATGCACAGAAATAAGCACAAATGTGAAAAATGATTAACTCACAAACCCATTGCATGTCATTTGTAATGAAAAATAGAGAAAAGTCACATCTTAACATTTCAGCTTTAGATTCTCTGGAAACGATGAAATTCTAATTTTTGGTCTTCAGTATTTTTTTTCTTGATTAATGTCTGAGGGAAGGGGATTTACAATGTCTTTAAAGCTGAACTCAAGACCTAGTAATACCTTAATTTTCAGGTTATTCATTTTCTACTGACAAACTCAAAATCATTTTATTTCCCCTTAATATTTTATATCAGAGACTGACTACTATGTGCCTGATCTGCAAAAGGTTTGTGTTTTAAAACACTTGCAAACTTGTTTGCACATGTAGAGCAGATCTTCAAAGAAGGAGCACAGTATTTTTTTATTTTAATTCAGCAGACAGTGTGCCCTCAGTAGTACTCAGATCATATTCTAATGACCAAACCATGGAAAAGAAGACACTTTATTTATGAGCATAGGATATACGAGTGTAAATATTTACCCATGCAAAGCAATCTTTTAAATCTGAAACTCGACTTCAACCATAGTTTTTATGTTTATTTTTAGTACTTTTGAAAGTCATGTCTGAGGTCATTGTCGCCACAAAGAAAGCTCTGGTACAACAACAGATCATCTAGACAGATTCTGTGGGAATGTAAACATATTTCGACTCAAAATTGGTCAAAAATAACTGAATATGCAAAATTTTTGTGAGTATCAAATTGAATGCATTTTATTTGCAATTTAAAGATCAGGCCCTTTTCTGTTTGAAAGAAAAACTATTGTTTCTTACAATTTAAATTCCTCCGGTAAATCAAGAAATTATTTTATAAAACAAATGTCTGTGGAACATTTCTCTCACTTAATTTAGGTGATCACGAATGGTCCATTTTTAAATCTAATTATTGTATATTTGAGACATAATGCCTAATTAGAGTTTGTGTTTGTTTCAGTTTGGTGAATTACTCAGTCACATCCATGCCAGAAGCCAGTGGTGACGCTGGAGAGTTTTTCTGCGTCAGAAAAGAAGAACTGAGCTATGGAAAGAAAATAAAAGACTCATTGTACCCATGGTAACCAACACCACTGATGTTTATCTCCTAATCTGTTTTCTTCAGTGCCATCTTGGCTATTTACTTTTTATTATTAGTCTGAATCAGTTCTTTGTAAATTCTTAGTAAGATGCATACTCATCTGTATCAGTAATTCTGGTTGTCTTTGTTTTAGTGCCTGTGAGAGCAGGGAAGTTCTTACACTGTTATGCCAAGGTGAGATATCAGGCGTACTCCCATTCTTTGAGGCACACTTAAAATGCTGCTACCTTACACCCTAACCTCCATCTTTGTCTGCAGGCTGCCTTCCAGCTCTTAGAATACCTTGTTTTTCCACATGCTGCTTTTTAAAAAACTTTTTATCCTGCATTGAGTTCCAGAGAAAACATAATTATCTAAGGCTAATTTATTTTCTTTCCTTGGCAGACTGTGGGCGGCGTAGTTTTGCTGCAGACCGTATAGTTGGGGGTGTGGATGCAAGGCAGGGCAGCTGGCCCTGGCAGGTTAGCTTACAATATGATGGGATTCACCAGTGTGGAGGATCCATCATCTCAAATCGCTGGATTGTTTCTGCAGCTCACTGCTTCCCAGAGTAAGTGAGGCAACAATTGTTGATTTTAAGGATTGGTAAAACATTGATTCACCAAAAAGTGTATAAGAATGTAAAATAAAACTTTTTTTTTTAAACTATTCCTTTGTTTCCTTATACCTACTCTACCCAAGGCGCAACCGTTTTATTAACCGATGGCGTGTGCTGCTGGGCTCCATCTACAACAAGCCTGTCAATGCCAACGTGGTGGAGGTGAAGACCATAGTTTACCACAGTAGCTACCTGCCCTTTGTAGACCCCAATATCGATGATAACAGCAGAGACATCGCAGTGTTGGCTCTCACTCAACCACTCACTTTCACTGGTAAGACATTACACAAAGAAAACCAAGTACCTCAGGCCATTACTTTTGGGCATTTTCACTGCATCTCCATGGGTTTAGTGAATGAATGGCATGGAGGGAAAAATGGCAACTCTTGGCTGTTACACCTCCAAACTGCTGATTTTGCATAAACTGGCCTTTTGGTTTGGTTAGAATTACAGATTAAAGAAATTATGTAGTGTAAACCATCCCATATATAAAACAGCCGACCACTACCTAAATGAGAATCTGCCTGACAGAGATATTTATAATAATGAAATCACTATATAATTGTATAAAGAGGGCTACATGTTAGTAAGAAGGTCCAGCTTGTCTACAATGAGTTTGCATGTCCTCTCCTTCCATGTGAGGTTCCTCCCAGGGTTACCCTAACCCTCTGCTTCCCTTCATAACCCTGTATGCATGATATCTACATTGGTCTTTTTAAATTGCCATTGTACGTGAGAATAGTAATAAATAAATGAAGGTTGTAATATACATGTATTTTTGTGTATTTTTACATTTTGCCACATTTTTATTAAATAGAAACTGTTTTTGCTTAAGCAACAGAGTCAAGTATGTGTCCTTTTAAAAGACTACCTCCAGACTTAAGGAGCTGTGAGGATGGAGTTGTCTGCTTCATTCCTGACCTCAGCCCCATTGAACCCTTGCAGAAGCAGCTCGAATGCATTGCTAATGACAGTGACCGACATGATGACACGGGCTGAGATACTGATTAGACAATTAAATAGAACCCTATCCCACAACAGTGTGACCAAGGTGGGGACAAGCTGTTTGGAGATGGCAGAGATGGTTTGAATGGTTTTCATGGACTCAACACAGATACTGTGTGTTCATCCCTTAAATGCATTGTACTTAAAGGTTTGGCTCCATTTAAAGGGGAATAAACTGGCTTTGGATAAGACCTGAAATAATGGACCAACATAAACTTGCTAACTCTGCTGTGCTGCACTTCATTTATGCTGAGGTCTGTGCAGATTACACTACATTATTTGATCTGTAAACAAAGCATTGTTTGTCAATGCAACTACTATAAAAACCAATTATTTTTGAGTGTATGAACAGTACAGTGTACACTTACTGTATGTGCGATCTCTGACATCTAGTGTTCATTATGCAGAACAACAACAACATCTGAACCACAAGACATGGTGAGCTCACTGCAGGGAGAACAAAGCCAGATTACAAACATAAAATAAAAGCATAATATCAGGCTCGCTCTAAAATTATTGTATGTTTATTATTGTTGCGATGAAGCCAGTAATAGATCTTCTGCTGCCGTTAATGACTTTTTCTTTTCTTTTTTTTTACTATAGAAAGTTCTACTAGTTTTGCTTTTCTGTGTTTTTGTGTGCCCTCTCTGTCTTCTCAAACTCCGTGTCTGTTGTTGTTTTTGGCCTCTTACACTGAGCCGGGTTCTACTGTAGGGTCCTTCCTGTTAAAGGGGAGTTTTTTTTTCCGCTGTTGCTTTATCAGTATGTCTGACTGCTGCAAAGTAAACGACACAAAGCAGCTGACTGTCCACTCAAGCTGGAGGGGAGGTTGCTAGAAAATCTTAATATTATAGAAAACAATTATATAAAAAGGCCCTAAAATCAAAAGAAAAAAAATATCCCTCCATTACTTAAAAATTCCGAAAAAAATACTTCCAGACATGATTATTCTAAGAAACCTCTGTCTGATTAACAAGGTGTTACATTCCCTGGCTCCTCCACCTCTGAAAGGATTAATTAAACCTATTAATAATACTCAGAGGATTATACGAGAATCAGCAAGAAGTGATCCTTAAATTCCCCACAGCAGCCCCACCTTCAGCCTAACAGTTCTGTTTAAGGTGGAAACCTATGGAATAGTCTTCCACTTAAATGTTCCATGTATAATAATTTTTAAAATTCAGCTTAAAGAATGGCTATAGCAAAGTCAAATATGTGTACATTAGCTCACACATTACACAATATTGCATATTTCATTGTGTTAGAGTTTTTACGGGTTGCATCAGGTTTGTGAAACTTATGGTGAGATTTTTAATCGTCTCTTGTTGTGACTGTTGTTAGAATTGTAAAATGTGTTGCGCTGCAAATGTGATGTAATAAGTGACCGCTTTTTGAAACCGTGTAACCCTTCCTGTTGGACCATGGAAGAAATTAGTCTTTGGCTACAATCTGCATTTTTACATTCATGTGTTTTTAATGTTTGTCCATTAGCATGCACTGTCCCAGTCAAATAAATAAAAAGATATAAAATAGAAATAAGATATTGGAGGTATTATGATTGGTTTCCTTTGACAGAAAAGTTTGGTTAACTATTTAAAATAATAAAATTGACTGCATTGCATCAACCTTAAAATGTATGTAACTGAATTTAAATCTGTCTGAACGATGTGACTGGGTTGACTATATATCTCTATGTAGTAATTGGAGGTTTTCTGGGTGCCTTGTTATGAATTAGTGCTTTATACTTTTTTTCTCATTACATTATCACTATTGTGAGAGACTAAATGTCTCTCAATAGGTAAATAAAAAGAGGTTTAGGAGCTTATAGAAATAGTCGATCCGTCAATTATTTGACTGTTTTCGTTCTCTTTAGTCCTACCAGGCAGAGCAATTGCATGAGTTTTTAAATATATACTCCATTAAAACATTTTGTACAATGATTCCCAATTTCATTAACTTAAATCAAAGAAAACTCAGATAATATTATCAAACTTTTAATAGACTGTAACATAAGGTAAAAGTTTAGTAACCTGCTGTGTTACATCCTTATTTCAGCTGTATTAATGAATGTTTCCTAATCATAGAGTACATCCAGCCTGTCTGTCTGCCAGCATATGGACAACGGCTGATAGATGGACAGATGGGAACAGTGACTGGCTGGGGAAACGTTGGATACTATGGTAGGTCTGAATTCCTAAAATGCTGAGTTTTTTATTTTTGCTAAGGACGGTAATCAGATATTACTTTTTTGTCTTGCCAATATTTTTTTTTGTATTTAAATACTATATTATGATTTTTAGCTTAAAACATGTCTGTCAACTAGCTGTCTTTAACAAACTAACTGTATTATGACAGTTGATATGTTTTTTTTTCTTGTTAAAGTTGGATTTTCTTTTTCTCACAGGTCATCTGGCAGATGTTCTCCAGGAAGCAAATGTCCCCATCATCAGTGATACTGTCTGTAATGCTCCTGATTACTATGACAACCAGATCACCACCAGCATGTTCTGTGCTGGCTACGAAAAAGGAGGCATTGATGCCTGCCAGGTGAGAAGTCTATGTGTTTAAGTCCAATGTGTTAATCCTGGGTTATTTTATTTTAAAATCTTTGTTAGTCTTAGTTTTGTTCTGTTATATTTATAACGTAATCTGTGTGGTCTTAGGGAGACAGTGGGGGTCCTTTTGTGGCAGCGGACTGCCTGTCTAAAACCAGCCGCTATCGTCTGCTCGGGGTGGTAAGCTGGGGAACAGGCTGCGCCATGGCCAAAAAACCAGGGGTCTACACTAGAGTTTCACGATTTCTGCCTTGGATATCCACAGCCATGAGAGTAAGAGTGTAGATATAGATATATACAGTTGTGCTTGAAAGTTTACATACCCTCCCATTAAAGACAGATATAAATATGTATATTTTTTGATAAATATGTATAATTAATAAATTAAATAAGTAAACAAGCCTGATGGAGTTCTTGAACTAATATTATGTTGACTAACACTTTGAGGCAATCACTGAAATCAGGTGTTTTCTATAATGTTCAGTAAATGTTTATTCAGACTTCTGCAACTGTTGACAGGTATGTTGGTTCACTGTTCATGAGCAAGGTTACTCTAATTTGTCTGGGACTGTTTATTTTAGAATTATAAAAAACTAAAAAAATAAATCAATACTTTTTTTTTTTACCGAAATATCATTTATTACATTTTTGGAGTTTATTTATTTATAGTTTTTCAGTTTTTAATATTTAGAATCCTTCTTTAATCATTCTTGATTATCATTCTCTTTCATATGAGGGTATATAACCTTTCAAGCATATATATATATATATATATATATATATATATATATGTACAATATTAGACTTCTTTTGCCTGACTAAACATTTCTGCTCTGTTTTTTCTGCAGAACTATCACAACTCGCCTGGTGTCCATAAATTGGCTCGACCATGAGATTCCCGCATCCATCTTTCTGCTTTGTCTACTTTTGGATGAGAATTCGAACAATCTTGCTCGATTATACTGTGACCCCTGTGACAGGGAAGTGAAACTATGACTGTGGCCTTTTATCGTCGTTCTGGACTCTTTATGCATCACTGAAGGTAAACCAGTACTATGTAGGGACTGTTTAATCTGTGTTTTTATAACATGATGAAACACAGAAGCAGCAATGTATAGATAATCTCAAAATCACAAAACTGAATTTTTGATTTTAAATCAAATGTTTGCGCTCCTCTAGTATCTGTGAATTAGAGATTAAACTTGAAGTAGAGATAACTGACATCAGAGTTTAATGGTATTTTACTGCACATTTAAAGCTCAATGTGGGAACTCTGAAAGCAAACCTGATCCTCTGAAATGCTGTCCTCCTGGACACTCGTACAACTCTTTGCATGAGTCTCTATATTAGTGCAGGAATTCCTGCTGCCGGTGCTTAAAGTAGAAATGCCAAGTCCACATAAACACTACATATTAGCTAACTCAAGCTAAAAAAAATACATGCAAAAAACGAGAAACCTAAAAATGTAATGAAATGCTTAATCACTTTTGTTTGTTTATACTGCACCATTGTGAAAACGGCAGTTTTCTTTACTTTCCACTTGTACTTATGTGATATGCACCTTCTCTTTTGTCTTTTATAATGTATTTTCTAATAAAACCTCCACACAACAAGCAGTATGCCTATAATAGTTTATATGGAATTGCACAAGCTGCTGAAGATGAAGTTCCCAATCAGTGTTTTCTTGTATATAGATATTAGTTGGTTTGAGTCCCTTATTTTTTAAATTCAGTTTTTTTTTTTTTGTATTTTAAAAGGACCATATGTGACTGAACACAAAACGATCAAGTGAAACAAAATCAATATTGATTAAAATACTTTGTCACTGAAGTATGTAAAAATTATCAGATTATTATAAAAAAAAATGACTTTTTCTACTCGTGATTTTTGTTGAGTTACATAAGTAATAAAGTACCAGCATGTGTATGTTTGAATGTATTGAATGTATGTAAGTATGGATACTGATAATCCTATTCCCAGGTATGTCATATTAAACTTGAACCCCAAAACAAAAAATTATTACATTTTCCAAAATAAAAATACACATTACAATAATGTTGAAACTTTTCTGAAAAAAATACAAATTGTGAAACAATTATGTGAAAAACAATGCAGTTATTGTTATGTATGTATGCTGAGAGGATAATGTAAACAAAAGTGGGTTTTTACCATAAATTATCTTTTTTTTCCCTGAGTGATGAAAAACATTAAATTTAATACAAAGGTTTCATTATTGCAAGTTCAATAAACACTTTGTAAGATTTAGGTTTCTGATCTGAGTGTTTTATGAGAATAAAAATGCAATACAAAAAATAAATATATTAATCCTTTATTTTCTATTGAGTTGCAACATTTACAGTTGAAACTGGAGTGCTTAACAAAATAAGAAACAAGTTGCTTTATATTCTGTCCGGAATGTACATGAATAGTTTTAACTGTATTTAGTTTTGATGTAAGCAATAGTTTCCTTAATCGCAAAACATTACAATAGCAATGAACCCCATAACCTTATCCTACTCACATAAGAAGCTTGACTTTTAGCATTTATGTTTTTCCTGAGACATGTTACATTATTATTTTTATGGTGGCATAGACATTTGAACACGTTGCAAATACATAAATGTGTTGCAAATACATAAATGTGCGGCAAACATGGAAAAAAGGGCTACTGCAAAAACAAAAATGAGGCTAATAAACACAAATTAGAGGCTAACACAAGCAAACAAACAATACTCAAGAAGGAAAGGCTTCAATTAAATCATGTTAAAGCATCATAGGGTCACTTTAGCCACTAGGGGTGCTAGATCTGTGCTTTAGGTTCAGAGCCCGTGACGGCCACAGGCAGCACTGTGTTGCCTCAAGATTAAACAGTCTCCCTGTGTGTTTTGTAATCTGATGGCAGACCACACTGATTTAGCACCTGTCAATTCTGTTTTCTTGCGGTGGGGCCGGTGCAGGCAGTCTATGGGCAAAAGGCTGTGTACATCATAGACAGGTGCCAGTTTGTCTCAGAGCAACACTGAGACACACAACCATGCACACACACACACACTCACACCTGAGGACAATTTGAGATGCCAATCAACCGTAGGAGGAAGCTGGGGTAGCTGCAGAGAACCCGAGGAGATCATGCAAAACACCCTGTTGCTGGGTATTGAACCAGAAACCTTCTTGCTGCAAGGTAACAGTGGTACAAACTGCTCCACCATTCAGCCCCCACACCAAGTCTCATACCTTATAGAGATAAGGCAAACAAACATACTGAAAATATGTATATTATAGTATGAAATTTTCAAGATTTATAGTAGTGAATTTTACTTACTAATTTTGCAGATAGACTGACATTTGCTCTGAATATTTGGTGAGTGAACTGCTGAGTGAACAGATCCTTAAGTATGAAATGTACCCTGGTGATTTTCAAACAGGTGCACTTTAAAAAAAAAAATCAGTAATTGGGATTTTTTTGGTAAAAAAATTGGAGATTAGATTTTTAAGCCAAATCAAGCAGCCTTATTTCCTTTGTACCATTTTTCATTTGCATGTGTTTGTGCGTCAGTCCATATTTTATTTTTGCCAGCCTAATTTTATATTCACAGCATCTTTAGGTGTTTGCAGTGCATATGCATTAAATGAAGATGTTGACTGTAGAGGATTTACTCAGCTTCATTTGATCACTGAGCTGTAAACTACAGAGCTGTCATCTTCTCTTCCTTTAAACCTGTGGAGAAGATCAGTTAGAAACATTATTCAACTTCACTAGTAGAGCTTTGATCTTTCATTACACTCTTGACTTCCCTGTTAAAGATATGGTGATATTGCTGTTGTAGAAATGCTAACTAGGCCTAGTTTCATACCTTGAAAATCAACCTTCTTCCTGTAATTTTTATAAGTATCTTGACCCTGTTTAATGCTGATACATTCCTGCTACACGAATACACAACCTACCAGGAGTTTGTGTCGTTTGGTGCATTCTGGTTCCTAGGTTTGGTTGTTACAGTGGAGTACAGAATCTCATCCTCAGATCTGGGAATCTACAAATCAGAGAACAAAATCATCTTATTTAGATTATAATTATTTTTCGGTCCATTATTTTTTGCTTTGTAAGGACGAACCAAACATATTTACATTTTTTGAGACTTTACGTGGTGGTAAATTGCTGTAGAGGTCAAAACCAGGTGGAGATGGGAGTATTTGAATGTTGGAATAAACTGCATCAGTTGCTTCTTCGGAGTTTGATGTTCTTCCACTGAGTCTGGAGTTTGAGTTAGTCTGCTGGATAAACCAAAAGAAAGAAATTAGGTTGTTGTTCCTCAAATTCTGACTGAATAATTTCCTACATAATAAGTTTAATAATAAGTTTATGTAATAAAGATACACAGGCCGATTCGCTCATCTAAAGAAAGGATTTGGGTTGTTATTTAACAGAGTCTTGTGGGTGTACTCACGTTTTTAACTACCTTGAACTTTTCTTTCCTCCTAAAAATAAGAACAGAGGAAGTAGAAGGAGAATTTTTAAATATTTCACTTTTAGGAATATCATGTTATTCCTGTCACTTCATCCTCTGGCACCTTCTTACTGCTATTGCAATATCAGCAGGTGCATTAATTGTTGTACACAGAGATTACCTTTACGTCACTTCAACTATAACAAGTATTTATCACCATGTTAGATCATAAAAAAGTGACCTCATGAAAAGAACAATTCTTGATGAAGGTTTTAATTTTTCACTTTCATTCACGAGACAACCAGCCTGTTTATTTTCCCTATCAGGACGCCATCTGTTGACAAATTACAATTCCCCCCCTTTGGAATCAGCCAGTCTATTGCATGTTTTAGCCAAAACGTTATACCTTAGACTAATCTGTCTACATATATATAGTTCTAGCATCCTGCATACAGGGCTTCTTTTGCCTTTCGTTCAATAGTTCCAAAACCTTGCCCCTCTTTGTGGTAAAGTATGACCATCAACAGATTTTTTCATCTGAGCCATGGATTTCTGCAGCTCACTTGGCTGCTTCTTAATAGTCACGTTAGATTTAGCCGGAAGCCATTTTTTAGTAGGTTGTCCCATTCTGTTCCCATTTTTTGATCATGGGTTAAGCATTATTGTGTGAGATGGTCAACGTTTAACATATTGTTCTGTGACTCTTCTCTAAACCAACATGCTTTGCTACCAGGTATTTTATACACTTTGTTTTTTTCTAATGGGTGCAAATACAAAGTGTATAAAATTCCTGGTAGGATATATTGAACATCTTTTGTTTTTTACTTGGAAATTCCATTTCCAACAATGTGCAAGAAGTATAAGTGCTTTTGCAAGTTCCTTTAAATGACCTCAAAGTTTCATTTTGCCTACTTTGACAAAAGAATGGTTGATGAAATGGAAACTGAAATGATGCATGTATGCTACAGTTATGATGTGTGTTGAAATCCATTGAAAGGTAATGTTCCAAGCAGAAAAGGAGATTTCCAGACAATTAAGTCATACCAAATGTACGTTACCCAATGGTAAAACTGCATGACTCAGATTAGCTGGCCTAACTCCTAATCGTATGATGACTCACCAGAACAAAAGCAATACTGCGACTAACATCACAACAAGAAATACACCAAATCCAGCTAGGATAGGAAGGGCCTGGCTGCCTGGGGAGTAAGAAAAGTCATTTTAGTTTTAATAAAGTTGCATAGCTACCAGCAGCTAGTGAATAATGCCACAAACCATGCTGCTCTGCTGCCATCACTAGGACCAATCCAGTTGAGTTGGCCTCTCCGACACTGTTCCTGGCGAGGCAGACATAGAGACCGCTGTCGGACGACTCCATGGAGGAAAGGGACAGCACCTGGCCTGAGCCCACATAGGCCAGGGAGTCAGAGCCGACTGTGTCTGTCATTTTGTACCAGGTGTAGCTGTCTGCTGCAGGGTTAGCTTCGCTGTGGCAGGTTAGATTGGCGCTACTGCCTTCAACTATTTGCTTTGGATTCACTGAAACCGAAACATTCATTGGGTGATCTGAAGAGGAGAAAATACTTTTGTTAATGAAATGGAAAGGTGGTTTCACCAAAATAACTGTTATTGGTTCATTGTAGTGTGAAGGAAAAGGTATTTAAAAGATTTTATCTGTCAGAACCTGTATTTGATTACAGAACTTTATCACAGCATGTGCATAATCAAAGTGTTTTTAAGGTACACAGTTAAAAGGAGACTCTTTTGGCTGCAGTGACTCCCCGCCTTTCTGACATACGACCCGCTCTGTGCTGAGAGCACAGCGATTTTATAACATTCAAATCAAATTGCTTAGTTTATAAAACAGGGCTTTCTGTTTTTGTTTTCATATGATGAACTGAAACCGCATGTAACAGCTGAATTACCAGCCAGAGGAAACATGCAAATTTGTGTTTGCAAAAAGCTCTCAAAGCTTCTGCCCGATGGTATCAGATATACTGTCAGAAAAAAAGACTGTCCTGCTAAAATTCTGCTTGAGAGGAAATATCTGTTGATATCAAGATAAATGGATTTGTAGCATTGGGACTGTCAAAGATGAGGGAATGGAATGGGGGTAAAAAATCATAATAAGTTCAAATTAACCTTATTAACATTGCTGGGAACTCTAAGCCTCTCGAACCGTTCTAGTATCCATCTCATTCTACTTACAGCGAACATCCAGCTGTATCTCTGATGAGTTGATCAGATCACTGCCTCTCCAGCTGATGTTGTTCCATGCCTGGCAGTGGTACCTGCCCATGTGTCTTGGCTGGATGTATGAGATGACATGTTTCTGCCCTGAACTCACATACTCTCCATCCTTGTAGAATCGATATCCGCTTTGTGCCACAGCAGGGTTTGCCTCACTGTTGCAGGTCAAAACCACCATACTTCCTGTGGTGACGTCCCCAGATGGACTCGCTGACAACCTCACATCTTTTGGAGAATCTGGTTTAGAGGAATAGCTAGTTAAGTCTCACGAGTGCAAGAAGAACAGGACTCAGATAGCCTGAATTAATTATTTTTTTTAATTAAGGAGGGAAAAAAAACAGCTGATGATCACACTTTCTGTTCATAGCTTACACTTTTTTTTATTGTCAGCACTGGTAGAAATACCTTCACCTTGTGTTGGCAAAAAAAAGGCTTCAGCTCTGTAAACAAAGCAGCGTTGACTAATTTCCAGCCTCAAATTGCTTTCTGCTTAGTTCTCAAGAACACTTAAAAAACGCAAAATAACTTTTATCAAATCAAACTGACTACATTGATTGACAATCACTTTGACATGCTGTTGTGAAAATGGAACAGACAACAGGTGGAAATTATTGGCAATCAACAAGACACACTCAATAAAGGATAGGTTCTGCAGGTGGGGAGCGCAGACCACTTCTCAGAATCTATGCTGTCTGGCTGCTATTTTTGTCACTTTTGAATGCTGGTGCTGCTTTCACACTCTTGGTAGGATGTGATGGACTCTACAACCCAGACAAGTGGCTCAGGTAGTGCAGCTCATCCAGGATGGCAAATCAATACGAGCTGTGGCAAGAACGTTAGCTGTGTCTGTCAGTGTAGTGTCCAGAGACTGGAGGTGCCATCAGGAGATGTGGAGGAGGCCGTGCGAGGGCAACAACCCAGCAGTAGGGCCGCTACTTCTGTCTTTTTGAATGGAGTAACAGGAGGAGCACTGCCAGAGCCCTAAAAAATGGCTTCCAACAGTGCACAAATTTGCGTGTGTCTGCAGGGACAATTAGAAACCAACTCAATGAGGGTGATATGAGGACCTGACATCCACAGATAGGGGTTGCGATCACAGCCCAACACTGTGCAGGATGGATTGGTATTTTCCAGAGAACACCAGGATTGGCAACTTCACCACCGGCACCTTGTGCTCTTCAGAGATGAAAGCAGGTTCACACTGAGCACAAGTGACATAAGTGACAGAGCCTGGAGACACTTTGGAGAGCGATCTGCTGCCTGCAGCATCCTTCAGCATTACTGCTTTAGCAGTGGGTCAGTAATGTTGTGGGGGGGGGGGATTTCTTTGGAGGGCTGCACAGCCCTCCAGGAACTTGCCAGAGGTACCATGACTGCCATTAGGTACCGAAATGAGATCCTTAGACCACTTGTAAGAATATGCTGCTGCAGTTGGCCCTTGGTTCCTCCTAATGCAGCACAATGCTAGACCTCATGTGGCTGGGGTGTGATAGCAGTTCCTGCAATGCTATGGACCGGCCCACCGTTCCCTAAACCTGAATTTGATTGAGCACATCTGGGACATCATGTCTCGATCTATCCACCAATGTCATGTTGCACCACAGACTGTCCAGGAGTTGGCGGAAGCTTTAGTCCAAGTCTGAGAGGAGATCCCAAATTCAACTTCCATTGATTTTTGTGTTATTTTTTTTGTCGGCACATTTCACTTTGGTACAAAACAAAGTATTTAATGAGATTATTTAATTCATTCAGATCTGAGATTTGTTGTTTGGGTGGTCCCTTTATGTCCTTTATGTTTTTGAGCAGTGCATATGATATATACATGTTTTTGGTTTAGGGATCACAATTAGGACTAAGTTGTGAATTGGGGTTAGGGTTGGGCATCAATCCACAATGATTACGTTTAGAGGGGATTGGTCACCCTGCCTTTCTTTCCCATTTTGAAGAATGTTCTATAGTGATTATTCTATATCTGTGTCCTTAATTTGTGGGGAAACAGCCCTTTATTTATTGAAAGCAAACTTTGTGTTAATGTTCAACTATATATTAAAGGGTAAAGTGTAAATGAAAAAAAACCTTTCAGTGACATTTATTTCATCACAGTTTTATTTTGGTAAAAAGTTTGAAGTTATAATTTTTTTTTTTTTTTTGAACATTTTTGATCAGAAATACCAAAAGTGAACGCGGAGGTTTGGCATTGAAGATTACAAAATATTTTAAATTTCAATTAAGTAATCAGTACTTTATGATCAAACAACAAACAAAGCATGGAAATATTTCTGTTGTTGAAGATCATTTTTAATAGATACACCTATTAGTTATCTTTCACACATTTGGGAGTGAGTTTCTCATAAATTACCCCTCATATAATTACTGTTCCTTCTGTTCGTAAACTTTGCAGTGTTCTGATTTAATTGAACACAAAGATAGTCGGCAGCCAATGACAGAATTGAGTTTGTTGTAAAGAAAGTTGTCATGACTGTAATAATTTTTCTCCACACAAACTGATGGATAAATAGAAACATGTGTTGTGTTTTGTGTGCTTGTGAGATGGTTTCCTGTCACTCATACTCACAGTGAACACTCAGAGCAACAGTGGCAGACCACACCGTCTCAGGTCCCTGGATGACACAGTAGTACTTTCCAGCATCCTCTCTTCTGGCCTGGAACTGTGGACTCTGAATTCGGCGTCCATCTTTAAAGAAGAAAAACACTGCAGGTCCAGGACAGCCTGACCTGCAGGTCAGCCTGACGGTGTCTCCCTCTCTGACGGTGCTCGGCTGAACCACTAAGGTCAAATCTGTCACAGTTACAGAGAAATACAAGAGTAACTGCAAAAGATCTTCCAGATTTCTGATCAGTTTCTATATTAGTGTTATCACCTTTTACTTCCAGTGAAGCGTGTCCTTTACTTGTCCAACTCCCAAGGGTCGATGAAAAACGGAAACGATATTTTCCTTGATCCGAGTACTGAACATTATTGATCCTCAGGCTGCAGTCACCGCGGGATTTACCAATATATTTAAAATGGTTTGGTGGTGAATGGAGATCAGAGAGGAGAACCCAGTGCCAAACATTGGATATTGGATGGTGTTTATACCAGCCGACCCAGGTAATAATATTTAGTGCGGGATAGTCGTAATTGCACTTTAAATTGACTGACGTCCCTTTTAAAGCACACTGGTTTTCAAAAGTCACTCCCCAATTTCCACTCCAGACACCTTTGAGAAACAAAATTTTACTAAATGTAGTGAGTGTCAGTCATCTTTTTAGTAAAACAGTGCAAAATAATAATCTTACCTGGAAATAATCCTGCAATAAATATTATCCACCTTCCCATCGTTTAAATCGACCACTGAATCATGCAGCTGTAGGGTACAGTATGAGGACAGGAGGATTAACTGTTCATTTCTGGGGCGTATTCTTAGCTCAATGAAAAGCAGAAGTGGAAATTTATTTCCCCTGTTTTCCATGCATCAATATTTTTGACACTCTGAGCAATAACTAAATTTAAGCTAAAAATCTGCCTCATTGTACAAATAGAGGAAAAGAGCTGTGTTGAAAGAGGATTTGTTCAGATGATTTGTTAACATTGAGAAAGAGAACAGAGTGTTCAGCGTGAAATGGCAATAAGCTGCTGTGGTTATGCAAAGTAAGACATTCTAGTTTTCATTGTCATGTACAGAACTGCTGCAGCTCAGGGTGTTTCAGAAGACGCATTTCATGTCTAACATAGAAGTAAAAATGTAAAATCCCTTTATTTTCCCACAGAACTGGGTACTTGCAACCTTCTCAGAGCACAGGCACTCTGCTCTAACCACTAGGCCGACGACCCCCCAAGAGACAAGCAATTCTTCTTTTAAGAAAGGGCCGCCTTTAAAATTATCTGATTGCAAGTTTTTTTTCTTTTTGCTTGAAATGTTTAAAAGATGTTAAAATGCTTTGATTCAGGGATAAAGAGCAGACCATAATGCTGCAACATCACCTCGTAATTCTCATTCAAAATGGTAAATCAATAACTCCAGCAAAACGGTTAAAAAAGAAAATATTGAGTTGATAACGTCACTGCTGTAAGTCATTTTTGTCTACATTATGTGCATAATTTAATTTTGATAAAAGCTCTTGATGTCCCTCCCTGGATCTTTTGACCTTTTGAAAAAAAAAAAAATTATATATATATATATATATATATATATATATATATATATATATATATATATATATATATACACTCACCGGCCACTTTATTAGGTACCCCATGCTAGTAACAGGTTGGACCCCCTTTTGCCTTCAGAACTGCCTCAATTCTTCGTGGCATAGATTCAACAAGGTGCTGGAAGCATTCCTCAGGGAGTTTGGTCCATATTGACATGATGGCATCACACAGTTGACGCAGATTTGTCGGCTGCACATCCATGATGCGAATCTCCCGTTCCACCACATCCCAAAGATGCTCTATTGGATTGAGATCTGGTGACTGTGGAGGCCATTTGAGTACCCTGAACTCATTGTCATGTTCAAGAAACCAGTCTGAGATGATTCCAGCTTTATGACATGGCGCATTATCCTGCTGAAAGTAGCCATCAGAAGTTGGGTACATTGTGGTCATAAACGGATGGACATGGTCAGCAACAATACTCAGGTGGGCTGTGGCGTTGCAACGATGTTCAATTGGTACCATGGGGCCCAAAGAGTGCCAAGAAAATATTCCCCACACCATGACACCACCACCACCGGCCTGAACCGTTGATACAAGGCAGGATGGATCCATGCTTTCATGTTGTAGACGCCAAATTCTGACCCTACCATCCGAATGTCGCAGCAGAAATCGAGACTCATCAGACCAGGCAACGTTTTTCCAATCTTCTATTGTCCAATTTCGATGAGCTTGTGCAAATTGTAGCCTCAGTTTCCTGTTCTTAGCTGAAAGGAGTGGCACCCGGTGTGGTCTTCTGCTGTTGTAGCCCATCTGCCTCAAAGTTCGACGTACTGTGCGTTCAGAGATGCTCTTCTGCCCACCTTGGTTGTAACGGGTGGTTATTTGAGTCACTGTTGCCCTTCTATCAGCTCGAACCAGTCTCGCCATTCTCCTCTGACCTCTGGCATCAACAAGGCATTTCCGCCCACAGAACTGCCGCTCACTGGATGTTTTTTCTTTTTCGGACCATTCTCTGTAAACTCTAGAGATGGTTGTGCGTGAAAATCCCAGTAGATCAGCAGTTTCTGAAATACTCAGACCAGCCCTTCTGGCACCAACAATCATGCCAGGTTCAAAGTCACTCAAATCACCTTTCTTCCCCATACTGATGCTCGGTTTGAACTGCAGGAGATTGTCTTGACCATGTCTACATGCCTAAATGCACTGAGTTGCCGCCATGTGATTGGCTGCTTAGAAATTAAGTGTTAACGAGCAGTTGGACAGGTGTACCTAATAAAGTGGCCGGTGAGTGTATATATATATAGATATATAGATATATGTGTGTGTGTGTCCACTAGAGGGAGACCCTGATTCACAGAAGAAATTAGGATCGCATATAGATAACAATGCTGCTTAAACTGAGCTGTGAATCTTGTCCATTATTGAGTTTTAACCCTGTTTCTGTTTCTGTAGTAATTTAATTGATTCAAATGTTATTAACATTAATGAATTAATCAGTTTTAGCCTATATATAATCTTATTTGAGGAGGTTACGGACATTTAGTGGTGAAAATTTTTAAGAACTAAAAACTCTCTAGATTTTGTGATAAAGAAATAAATTGTTCCAATAAATCATACTTAACTGATAATTAACTGCTACTGTTACTAATATTTGTTCATGGTTTTATGTCATACTGATTTTCTCGATTGCATGCTCATGATGGTATATTATTGACAAAAATATAAATTAAATGTGAGATAAATAATTACTGTGTTCATATATTATTGTGAACAGTCTTAAAAATCCTGTCTGATCTCAGTCTGTATGAAATCCTATATAACAACTGAATATTTGCATCATACAGTAAAAGGAAGCAAATATCAGCACAATGTGGCAAACTAGTGGTTTGTATCCGTTAACTCAACTGTTTTTAACTTCTGTGAAATTTGAGAAAAATGAGGAAACATAAATGAAAGATGATAAGTGAAGGTTTTCATCCATCCATCCATCCATCCATCCATCCATCCATCCATCCATCCATCCATCCATCCATCCATCCATCCATCCATCCATCCATCCATCCATCCATCTTCCTCCGCTTATCCGGGGTCGGGTCGCGGGGGCAGCAGCTTAAGAAGGGAGGCCCAGACTTCCTTCTCCCCAGCCACTTCTTCCAGCTCTTCAGGAGGAACCCCAAGGCGTTCCCAGGCCAGCCGAGAAACATAGTCTCTCCAGCGTGTCCTGGGTCTTCCCCGGGGCCTCCCCCCGGTGGGACGTGCCCGGAACACCTCACCAGGGAGGCGTCCAGGAGGCATCCTAAACAGATGCCCAAGCCACCTCAACTGGCTCCTCTCGACATGGAGGAGCAGCGGCTCTACTCCGAGTCCCTCCCGGATGACCGAGCTTCTCACCCTATCTCTAAGGGAGAGCCCAGCCACCCTACGGAGGAAACCCATTTCGGCGTGAAGGTTTTATTGGCTTTATTTCTAACCATATCCTCTCTGACCCACAGGACATCATAATTGCAAAATACCTGAAACTGAGCTGCTGTTTTTATTTCCCCACATTTTGTAATATTTGACAGTGTTGTAAGATAGGCTAAAAGGACACACATTTAGTGTGCAAACTGACCAGTTTAACTTTGGAAATTCTGAAATGTGTTGTGAAAAAAATTACAACTCATAATCCAGTCACACAGGAGTTTAACTGGACTACTGCAATATAGCATATATTTATTATTTAAATTCACATTAAAAAATAAAAATCTGTTGTAAACTGGAATACAATATTCTAAGTTGAGAAGAGCAGAAGTCATTTTGTTGGATTTCATATTCCTCAGTATTTCCTGTTGTTCACCACTTAGGTAACAATCTGTTAAAGAAGTCACAGAGAAAATGTGTTTGGGGTTTCAGTTAAAGTCTAACGGAAAATCTGGAGTCTTTTTTTTTTTTTGATCTGCACTCGTTTTTTTTTATCTCCACAAGAGCTCACTCTTCGAAAGTCATTTTGTTCTTCCTCCTATACTGATGTCAATGCTGGTAAAGTGCAGCATTAGCCACCTTGCTATCACTCCCATCTCTATTCTATCAAAAGCAACAGCAATCAGGGACTCACCTGCAGGCAGTCGGTGATTTTAGCTGCTTGTGTAACTACTACTTGTTTGTGTCAGAGACCAGGAAATGATAGTAAACAAACCAAAGCAAACTCCTGATGTGATTAATACTAAATCCACATGAATGCGTATTCCGACAAGCCAAATTATCGTGCATACTCTTGCAATGAAAATAGGTGACATGAAAAAGGGTTTAACGAGCTCTTTTTATTCCTTTTTCTTCTAAAATGTATTAAACATGAATTTAAAGTCAAATCTAAATGGATTGTATTAGTAAGATAACAGGTTATGACTCCTTTAAAATAATCTACATTCACCAGGAAATGTGTAATAACTTTTCTACACCAAAGCAATATCAAAATATAATCTACGGATGGATGCAAATAAAGCCTTCTTGAGAGTTTCTCAACTAAAACTCCTAGAATCACTCTCCATTCCATCATCAATTCTGTTTGAATGCAAGCATCTAAACTATCAGAGGAAGGATACTAGAAATTATGTACTGGAATGTCAGTGTAGAAAATAAACCTAAAAACAACAACATATATATATAACACAGTTTTCTGAAGGGCATAGAAGGACAAGTAAGGCGGCCCAATGTGCTTTTTTGGGGGGGGTTGGTTTTTCAACCGTGACAGGAGGTAAGAGCATAACAAAAAAAGAGAAGGCACCCAGCACAGCTTAGGAGCTGCGTTCACATGGAGGTCATCTAGTTTGGAGCTCTCTGTCTGAACTGGAATGGTGTCAAAGTTCACTGGAGGGAGACAGATGCAGGAAGTAATATGTGCCACTGGGTGATGACAGCAAATGTCTGGTTCACAGACGTTAGACCCGTTCCTCTGTCATTCTGTGGGGAAAAATACAACAGAAACTCAGGAAAATACAACCCTAATCAGGAAAAACATCACAGCTAAAGTAAATAATATTTAATATTTGCTATCAATACAGTGTCAGTTCTGAATCTGTCTTTATTTTAACATCACCATTGTTAATATGCTGTGTTTAGCTGCTGGAGCCAATCTTTTAAAATTATGGCCATAAACTTTCTGTAGCAACAGCTATGGTAAAGAACTGGAACCTTTTGGTTCTGAAACCCTTAAATGATGGCAATGCACACCTTGGTTCACCAGGGTTCTTGTAAAACCCAATGAATCAACAACTCAGAGCTGTTGTTTCAGCAAAAGGGGAACCCACAAACTGATTGTATTAGTTGACCCTGATTTTGGTTTGTATACAGAATAAAGAACATTTAGAACCTAGGCAGGAATCATTGGTTTCTGTTTCCATTGATCATATCTGAACTTTAACTTTACATATCATCTCATTCAGGAAACTTATTCCAACATTAATGTTACCATGTCTGCTGTCAGTGTAAAATATCAATGAAACCATCTTAAATTAAGGAATAATAGCATGAGAGAAGAAAGTGTTTTTATGTTAGACCTGTCTGTTGTTAGGAATCGTACCAGAAGAGGCGCCTCTTCATGCTCAGTGCTGTGGTCGGGACAGTAAAGTGTAAACAACTTTGGAAGAATCTCTTGGTTTCCTCTCTACTCTCAAATTCATGTTGTACATCTGAACCTGATCCGGACTGCAGGGACATCAAACAGGACAAGATCCCATAAAAATAAAATATAATAAGATACATTTGTCTTGTGTATTTTCCCTTGTTCTGGGCAGGCAAGTAACACAATTTGCCACTGGAAAAAAATGCTCTATGTCTAGAGTAAGAAAGATTGATACTGTAAGAAAGATACTAATTTAATTTAAGTGCACAATAGCAAATAATCTTAAATCAAGTGCTAAAATTCTCAATTCATTGGCAGATCTCATTTACCTGCTCAAATTAAGGGATAATACACTTATTTTAAGATATTTTAACTTGTTTTAGTTCAGTTTTTGCATCTTCAGTCATTAGTAATTCTAATGAAACTGTGTAAAAGGCCTCAAGGTAAAACATTTCAAATAGCAGTAGATTGTTCTCAAACTATGGGTAACAGTGGTTGAAGAACACTGATGGGATCTGCAGTTTATGCACACAGAAAAATAAAGTTTGTAACAAAAAAAAACAAAAAAACATTAGATAAAACAAAAACCGAGGAGATGCTTTAGTAGGAGTCTACCTGGACATCCTGGAGTAGTGCACAGAGATGAAGCTGGAGGTGGAGCTGCATCCTGACACCTCTCTGATTGGTGGAGCATCCATCAGAGAAATGATGGAGGGATGTGAAGCATCACTTAAATCCTCCTCCTGTGCACACATGAGAAATGTCTGATTCCTCTTCTTTTCTACCAGCCAACCTACCCCAGGTGATGATCAGCTCTGCTCACCAGGATGGCGGACATCTTGCCCTTTCTGACTGGGAGGGTCTGTTCGGCTGGCTCACAGCACACGGTGTCTAGTGTCAGTGGTGGATGCTGGGGTCAGTCACCAACAAAATAAAACACAAACCACAGAGGATAAACCAGATAAATGGGATCACAAATCATGGAAAATAACTCCACACTTTACTGTGGTACACTGGATCATTCCTCAAAACCCTGTTTTCCCCATCCTGTCAGCTTCAGTCAAACAGAAAAGGCTGAGTTATTCTTAGACTGATTAAAATCAATGAAAAAGACAGCTGTACCTTGTTTACATCCTCTACAGGCTCCGCGTCTATTGTGTGCATGTTCTTACTGTGAGGGCAAACACACCATCAGTAACAGCGATAATGGAAAAAACGGGCCAAAAAGCAAGGAATCAAAAGGGGAAAGAAAAAAATGGACACTGCAGAGGTAAAAGTGCTTCAGTCACCTAATGATGACAGCCACCGTCAGCATGATGAGACCTACAGACACACCCACTGCTGAAGCCAAGGCAATCACTTTGCCTAATGGACCTGCCGTAGGACGAATTGCGAATGTTATCAACATGAAGTCATTTGAAGAAAAAGCTCAGTGAGCTAAAAATGAACAGAATGCATAAAAATAGAAAGAGAGAGTGATTAAAGAGCTAAAGAGACACACATCAGAGTCTGGACGAGAGTCTTATATTTCCACTTCTTCTTTCCAACGCTCCATTTCTTCAACTGTCTAGACTCAAAAAGCAGTTTTCCGCAGCACCTCATCACCTCTTCTCCTCATAGTGAAAGTGGTTTACATGACTCACAGTGAATCATAGAAAAACGGAAATCATGAGACAAAGAAAGCCAGAGGCCGGGCCGACAATAAGGCTTCATCGCTCATCGCTGCAGACAAACAGAAACCATATCTGAAAATCTGCTGCGCTATAAACACTGACAAAATACTCCTTCAGAGGGCTGAGATGATCAGAAACACAGCTGTAAATGCGCAGCAGGTGGGTTTGGCCGCAGTTATCTGACACCTCGTCTCCGCAGATGAGATACGACAAAATACTGACAGGGCCAGAGACGGAGGGAGGGAAGGAAACAGACAGCAATGCTGCCAGGAGAGCATCAGCTGTTTGCTTTCAGAATGTGTGTGAATGTGTCACAAACATAGGAGGTGATGGAAAATTCAAGGATGGATGAATAATGATGAGACATTTTAAGAAAAACTCTGGAGCTGAGCTAGCCAAGGTCGTGTGGGGCCTCAGACAGGATCGATCGGGGGAGGCTCTTCCTGCCAAGAACATCCCCTAATATCACTAAGACGGATTTGATGGAAAATAGACAGAAGGGAGTTGAATACAAAACAAACTGAGATCAAATATAAAGAAAAAAGATTAAGCTTTTAGCACCACATACAGTAACCTGGTGAACACTGCCTGTGTGCCAATTTTTTCAATTTGAAAAAGTTTAAGATGCTTTTGCGGTTTCTGTACTGAAACCATTCAATCAAAATTCTTAATAAACAAACATAAAAATTTAGATTTGTGTTCAGTGTTTAATTAAAGGATCTTATAGGAGGCCCCTGAGGGTTTGGGCTCAGACCGCTGACCCAAATAAGTTTCCACCTGCAGAGCTTTATTGTGTTGTTTTGGCATTTTGACAGTCTTTCCTGTTGAAGTTTACAAATGAAACGAGAAACTAGACAAAGAAGATAGAACTGATAATAAGGTAAGTGTTAGAGAAGTGGTGAAACATCCAAATATGAGGGTACCTCTGACTCTGACAGTCAGCACCAGAGACCTGTTGGCTCCGATCCGATTCCTGACCTCACAGTAATACTGACCGCTCTCACCAGGACCGACCTCAGAGAAGGTGAAGACAGGACCAGACTCAATGACCCGTGCTGCTTTCAGGAAGAAAAGAAGAAAAAAAAATTAGCTTTACATTTTTGGATGAAACAATCAGGAGAAAAACGATCGACTTTAGTGAGCATTAGCATGAAGAGAAAATCAAATCAGTTCTGACATTTTGCATCGCCCCCGTCCACAGGCAGTCTGTACCAGGTGAAGTTGTCCACCGCTGGGCAGGCCTGGCTGGCACAGGTCAGGGTCAGGGGTCGGCCAGCGTCCACCACGCTGGAAGGTCGAGCCAGAATTGAGGTGTTCTTCGGGGGATCTGGATAGAAGATGTAAGGGTAAAAGATTAATGTTCTAGTAAATCATTTTCATAACGATAAACAGCCCTGAAGTCTGACAGAGTTCCCATATTTTTTCTAATGTTACTGTTAAAACTCAAAGTCAGCAGGCTTCAGCTGGGTCAGGGAAAAGAGCAAAGAGAGTTTTACCAATACAGACGGTGAAAAAGTCTTTTGTTTTGTTACTGCCACAAACTGCACTGCTGGATTTTATGTGAAATGAACACAAAATAGCCCAAAGCTGTGGACAGAAGGAAAATGATGGATTGCTTTCAAATATTTAACAATAAAAATCGGATATCTTTCTGCCATAATTGCACAAGACTTTCTTTTTTCCCCTCATTCTCTTTTACAAGTAGTGAAACCATAGCAGGACTGGATGGTTTGGACTTGGACTGAACAGATCTAACAGATCACTGTGTTTCAATCTAGAATAATTAAATTCAGCTTGTTATACGTCAGCCTTATTTCCTGCTGAACAGTGAACCTTGGCTCAGTTTTCTGCAGCCTCTAGCAAGCTTTATTCTTACTAACTTTCCTGTTTTGAGTTCTGTCCTATCAACCCTCACCTCCTCTGTCTCTGTACTGGCTGAAACATCCCCACAGTATAATGCTGCCACCACCATATTCCGTAGAGGGAAAGCTGTATTTCGGTTGATGTTTAGTGATTTTTTTTTTCTTACATAGATTTTTTCCAACAGGGTTTCAAAGTTCAGCTTGATTTCATAGTGTTATTCAAACAATGATATATTTTGTTATGAAAAATTACAAATATTTTATCATTCATTTAGAATACTTGATTTAGGCCAAAAAAATTAAACAAACAAAAACAAAACAACAATGCCGTCCAATTGGAAAGCTTTTCCTTATTCAGTTAAATCTGATTTATGCTCCAATTCTCATTGATGTCATTGATGACCCTGTAATGGTAGACCTACAGCTGTGTCAAGCTATTTCCCAGTTTGCATTTCAGTTTAAACAAGGGGATGTTTGAAGCTTTTAATATTATCTTCAAAATACCGGGCTGCACCATATTTAATGTAGGGGTATCAGAATGAGCACCATGAAGTATTTCCATTTTCCTCCCCTTTCACAATTATCAATACTTTGTGTTGATCTGTCACCTACAACTGAACTAGAAACATTAAGACAGTTGTCATGTATAAAAGTTACAAAGGTCAGAAGACTTCTGATAGACCTTTAATTAAATAGCAGCTTGAAAAAAAATACAGGCTATAAAAAAAACAACAAATAATTAGGTATTATTACTAAAAATGACTCCCAACCATGTCACCAAGAATGAAGAATGTCTGAAGTTCTTACAGAAGACGTTTAGTGAAGAAACAAGAGAGGTTTGGGATCCCAGCCGGTTTGATGCGCTGCAGTAGTACTGACCCGCGTGATGAGCGCCCACAGATGGGAAGGTCAGGTTCTGGTAGTTACCTTTCTCCACTGCCTGGTTGCCTACGATTCGATACCAAACATACCTGCAGAGGAAATAAAGTGGTAGACGATGATGATGGTGATGCTGATGATGAAGCAAGAACAATGTATGTGATATAAATTGGGAAGTTAATAAAGGTTCATGTGGCTGATTTAAGCAGAGCTGTACCTGCTGGGAGGAGGCTGGGCATGGCTGATACAGCTCAGATATACATAGGAGCCCTCTCTGATGTCTCTCTGAGGACTTATCCACACATGTGTGTTCTTTGGTGAGTCTAAACAGGTAAAACAGCAGCAATCTGAGAATTAATTCTAAATCATGTTAACCGATAAAAATCACTTTTAAACAGTAATAACATCTTTGCAGCCTTGCTGCATAGCTGATAAATTTACAGTCGGTTATTGAAAAAGATATTTTTAAATCCTGGTGATATTTGGCCTTAACTGTAGCCAAAAACTTAGCAGCACACATACAGGAGACATTGAGAAAAAGTGATTCGGAGCGATCTGTTCCCAGTGAGTTGCGGGCGACACAGTAATATTCTCCTCTGTCGCTGTATTTCAGGTCGGAGAGGTGGAGCCGAGGACTGAAGCTGTCAAGTAAGCTGCCGCTCTCCATGTCTGGAAATGAACAGAGAAAACTCTGAATTATCACCATGATTACAAAGCTAAGCTGGATAAAACATTTCAATGAAAGTATAAACATTTTATTTAGATACATCTTGTACTGCCCTCCACACTGCACAAAACATTAAATTTAAATATTTATATATTTCATTGTATAAAATCTGTAGAGCAAATAGTATGTATAAATATGCGTATGTCTATTTATCTGATTCAATTATTTCCTTTATTTCAGCAAATTGAATATTCTCCTATTTACCTCTACAAATTACTTACACCTGAGACATATTTCTTAGTTAAAAACTTTCTTAGAATTTATTAGATGGTTCTCTATTAAATATCAGCAAGTAATCCTTAACTTTGTTGTTCCTTAAGTTTAGACATTTTGGACACAGCCAATTTTTTTTAATTTCGGCAACAGGTCACAAGAAAGAGGTGGGTATCGTACCCTTAAATTATACTAAACTAATTTATTCAAAAGTAAAATAGTATTTGGAAAAACGGTTAATCAAGTACAGAGTTAATGTCCGTAACATTTGATGAAACATCCAGAAAATCAAGTCAAGACAATATATAAAGTTTTAAATGCTGGTATTTCTAGGACTGAAATAAAAAACTACAAATAGTGTAAATCACATAATTGCAAAATAGCAAATTTAGACTGAGTGTAAATGTAAATGTAATGATGAATCGTTAATTTCTCTTTATGCAAGATCAAACCCTTTCATATATGTGTGTTTGGACAATAACATACAGCCAATGTTCGACAGGTAGTGTCCCAACATGTTTTGTTGTACCTTTAAACCAGGCAAAGCTCTCAACGGGTGGGGCTGCATCGCTGCTGCAGGTCAGAGTGACTGAGCCCCCCTCTGACAGCTCCCCCCCAGGAGATACTGCAATGGAAGTGGAGTGGGGACTATCTACAGTGACAAGCAAAGAAAAACAAATCAATGCTCTTAAATGATAAAAAGGAGATTTTCAATGATTTATATCTCAGGATGTAGAAAAGCAAACCAATTTAATAGTAAATCAAAAAATATAATAATCTTTGTATTTGCAATTAATTAATTGCCAATGAAATTAGCATTTTTTTACACATAAAACAATGGTTATTTTTTTCTTATTTCAAACATTTAATGTCACATTTCACTACCAGGTTTTCTTAATCAGGTTTTTTTTTTTTTTCAAATTTAGGGAAATACACATATTTTAAGAACAACATTTCTTCCTTGTAGCTTAATTTTTCCAGTGCAGAACCAGTGACAAACTTGGACCAGTCCCACCATAAATAGAGAAATTTAAACATGGCTTATTAGATGAACTTTTGTGCCATTAGAAATGAAAAATTGATTTATCAGTGGAACAAAAGGTATGAGATGTGAAATATCTAATTTCATATCTATCTAATACATAAAATAAATTCTCTAAAAAATGAACGTGCTGTTAGGGGTTTCTCTATGTAATTTCATAGCATATTCACCAGGATTCATATGGACTACCAAACAGCCAATAAAACAACCCAGGAAGATGGTCTTTCATTTGCATCTGAGCTAATCATCATAGCTGGTCATTTCAAATAAGGTCTGCAGCATTATAATTAGAGCAGAAAGGGATCAAACCTTCACAAATGTCTCTATTTATGTTTTCTCCAAATTACACAACACTTGCCCTTAACCATCAACCATAATAATTAAAAAGAAAAAAGAAGTTTTTTTCTTCCTTTCCGTCCCCTTTCAGATGCATGTCCACAGCAAAAAACGTCAGAAATCCTACTGTTGGGATCTGGAGCTGTACCACCTTCCTCGAGCAGAGTGCGCCGTGGGTCCTCCTGAGCTGAGCCTCCAACACACCTGTGGCCCATCTCATCATCAGAAGACCCACCACTATTTAACCTGCCTTCAGACTTTGCCTCAACGCCGCAGTGTTGATCTAGTTTGGTTAGCAACCTGAGCCTAGTAAACCTGAGAATCTTTGCTATCTCCAGTTGAGATAAGATTCTAACTCTTCCTTGATTTTGCCTCACAGGAATCCTGTCTGTCCTTGAAGCTCTGGATGAGCTTAACCTGCAGAGCCTGCCCTCGTGAGCCAAACCTGAAGACTCTTCTGTGGATTCCCCTGCAGCTCTTGGCTAAGAGCTGGAAACCCAAACCAAGGTCTGCCCTCAAAGTCAGAAGTAAGACGCTGAAGCAATTATTGGACTCTGCTGAACAAACAGTCTCTGGACCCGACAGTTTCCTCTCTCAAAGAGAAACCCGGACTCCTTCAAGGTATTCCTCAGCAAACTCTAAGACTCATAACTCATCAGTCCATGTGCTAATTGAACTGTCATCCCTGCAGACTGCAGTGAACCAGCCCCCAGGCCCGAAACAGTTCCAGTGCAATATTCTTGTGCTTGTGTAATCAATAAACCTTGTTAAACTTTTCATCAGCCTCGGTGTATGTTCTGCATATTGGGTTTACTCTGAAACCAATCATGACACCTACAGAGCTTCTATATTGCTTGGCTGACCCTACTTACGTCCCATCATCAGAGAGACAGAAGGTGACTGGACGTTCAGGGTCGGGATGGGTCTGCAGGTGTATCCCCCTGTCTGCTGCTGGTCAAAGCGGTTAATGATCATCCATTTCTCATACGAGCCAAGGTTAAGACCATTCCTGTGTGTAAATATCACATCACAGTAAAAATGACAGTAATACTATGATATTACTTCTTCCACTGTAGAAAGAAAGAAAGAAACGATGTATGTCTAATTCCCATCCAGTGCGTCCTATAATAACAGCACTTTGGGAACTTGGGAAGCTAAATGGTGGCATTTACTTGGATTTGTTATATTACTGTGCAGATTTCATAAATGTGAACTCATTTCAGTCAGACAGCATGTAAATTACACATCTTTACTAGCAGATATATCACAGGTTTGAGTGTGGTGTCTAGGGTCTGATCTCATTACTCTACAGCTATGCTGCTCAGCCTGTCATAGAGTCATGATGCATGGATCTCTAACCCTCTGAGCATGTCTTGAAAGTGTTTGGAAGCTCACTGACTTTGTTGCCCAAGGAGGGAACTGTAAAGGTAGAGGAGCTAAAGAGAACTAACCAGAGCTGTCAGCAGAAGGCAGACAGCAGCTCTTAAAATAAAGAGAGCAGTGGGATTTTTTTCAGCAAGAATAGAAAGCCAAATTGTTATGATATTCATAATATGTTCAGTAAAGCTGAACAAGCTCAATAGTTGTTTCACAATAAAAGAGTCATTTCTAGGACAGTTATAGATTTACATAAGGTGAAAATGTAAAAGTGTACTACTTTAGAAAGTAACGTTTAACTCCTAATTTGGTAAAAACTAAGCAGACCTTTAAAAACAGCTCCATTTATTATTTGGAGCAGCAAGCACAAAATAAAAGATTGGAATAAAGTTTGTAGTATTTGTTGAACTTACACACAAGGATTCCATGTTTTTTCTCAAATCTAAACTATGAAGGAAAAAAGTTTTACTTTTAAGTTAGTTTTCTACCTGATTTTTGGTTCCATGTACAGAGAAAAACTGAGGCAGGGACTCTGTTTAGCTGAGTCTCTATAGCTCTATAGCTCTTAAGTCTCTATAGCTCTTAATGACTCCCCTGTTTCCGACGGACAGAGCTAAAGCTGATAAAAGTTGTTTTCTTTTTTTTTCTTTTTTATAAAATGCTCTTTGATCAAGGCCTCTACTAGTTCTGCTTTCCTGGATTGTGTTTTTCTCTCCTCAAACAAGGTCCTGAACCTGTGGCCATTTGTTTCTCCTGCCTGTCCTCTCAAAGCCTATCTAATGACTGCACAGACTAACTCTGGTTCTGCAAAAGGTTTTCCTTCTGTACAATCAAACCAAAACTGACATGAGACTTTAATAAACTACTTCAATATATCTGTCATGATTTTGGCGCTGATGGCTGGCTTGATTGCTCATTTCATTCACATATCTAGCTCTGCATCACTCATCAGATCCACCTGTTGTAGTTTCCTATTTAAGCTGCATGTTTCCCAGCCATAGGTACCAGATTATTCTTGCCTTTGGTGTTGAGAGTAACTATAGTCATGCCATATGGGGGTGGGGGGAGTTAGGACGATTCTCAGGGCCCTTGAATGAGAAGGGGCCCAAAAGGAGAAGAAAAGATTTGGTGTGATATATTTCTCAAATATAAAGAGAACATCCAGCAGTAAAATACATTTTCTTCATGTCCTTCTTTTTTCAGCAGCAAACAGTGAAACAAAGAATGATTGACATCCCCCCTCTCTTGAAATTGCAATACATTTTTCATCTGTCATTGGCAGCTCGTATTGGGGCTTAAATGCCACCCGCATGTCATTTGACGTAGTGACAACGAAAGAAACAAATTAACAAGAAAATGTGTAAATAAGCTGCAGTTTGTAAAAATGTCTGTGGCTGAAAAATGTTTCACACCTCTAAGTTATCTTTTAGTCCTATTCTTTTTTCCTAACATTTATCAGGAAACTTTTGGTCTGTTACCATTTTAAAGCAGACATGTTTCTCTTCAGTTTATAAAATGTTTTGGTAACATTTCTTAAGGCCATTTGATAATTTATCAGCCTTTCGGCCGTAACTGTGATATGGCATTAGTATAGTTTATGGAGCCAGCCTACACATTCATTACATTATTTCTCCCATCAGGGTTATTTTTATTTTTACTATATAGTATTTTGTCTATTTTATTACTGATTCTTTTTTCTCACCATGTTGTCTGGGAACTCTTTAATGCCTCAATCATCTGTGTCCATGTTTACTGTATATATCACACCTGGTTGATCCACTCTCCCCAGTGGAGCATAATTTTGGAGAGGAGATATTAAAGAAGAGGAGAGAGAGACAGAAGACCAAAAGACAGAAAGCCATGAAACAGACTACTTTGCTTACCCTCTTCGTCATATTGCCTACAGACCTATAATTCATTAATTATTGTTTCTCTATTCTATTCCTCTCTTGTTCAGGGGTAAAATATAACAAGAGGAATTTTGTACAATAACAGGACTGGGAGGAAGCTGTGAGTTTAAGTTTAATGTAGACCTACACCAAAACAACAGTGAGCAAGCACTATCAATTGGAAGTTTGTTTCTATTAGTAGGCTTTATATGAGTACCATCAATAACCTTTTCCCAGTCCAGCCCTCATTGTATTACTGTGTAATCTGGATCAGATCATATTTGGCTTTAATCTGATCCCATGTTTGTTTGTATTTTAAAAAGAGGGAAAGTTCTGTTATCTATGAATAGGTTTGGATCAGACCCGATTACCTCATAAAATGCTTTGACTTGACATTGACTGTAAACAGGTTCTACATAAATAAGTTTATCTAACTGAATGAGATAAGTGACTGTAGGTCTACCTATAGAGTGCCAAGCTTGTCCCTGGGGCGGCACATCCTCGGGCCTGGCATCCTACAAATACTGTTTCTCCAAATCCAAACATGTTAGCAGGCCTGGCTGGGTGTACCTGGACCTGTAGGTCTGAGAAATAACATCGGATAATGTTACTGTAAGGTCTATAGGATAACCTGTCATTTCTAAAGTGATTCCTGTTGACCCACCTGTCACATCCAGAGTGATGGTGTCAGGGGAGGACCACGTCCCCAGAGGTTGGTCTGTCTCAAACCTGAAGTGATACTGGCCGGCATCACTCAGCTTCACATCCCGAATCTGGACCGAACAGCTATGGCTGCCCCCAATGTACCTGGAACACAGGCAGCAATTCAGTGAGATCCATCCATCCATTTACCATCACGCTTATCCTGAGTGCGGTCGTGAGGGGTGCTGGTGTATATCTCCAGCTGTCTATGGGTGAGAGGCGGGGTACACCCTGGACAGGTCTCCAGTCCATCGCAGGGCAACACAGAGACAAACAGGACAAACAACCATTCACACACACATTCACACCTAAGGAGAATTTAAAGAAGCCGATTCAGTTCAGTGTTCAGTGAGTTGTTCTGTAAAAATAGGAGATTACTTGTTCTTCTCACCGTGTGCGTCCGCGGTAGGACAGGCTGATCTGGCTGGGTTCAGTGTGGTGAGCAAACTCCCTGCGACCCTCAACCGACACCCGAAACCACATGACCCTCATCAGAGTGTGACCTGTGGCGTGTCACACAACATTGTTATTCACTTAAACATATGATAAAAGGTAGAATCTACAAGACGAGGAATGAACAGTAGAGGAAATGGACTTAAACTATCTGGAATTTGAAAAAAAAAAAAAAACTACTGCTCTACTTTTTAGGTTTTCCCCAGACTGTTCTCATAAAGCCAAATAACAATGTATTTAATTAGAATTAAATTTACTAGACCAACACAGCACAATATTGCTTTGAAGTAGAAATAGATAATTCAAAGTTTTCACATTTTTTATTATATGATAGTGAAAGTGTAGTGTGTTATGCATTTAAATCTCTTAATCTGAAATCCCAACAGAGCAACCAAAGTATCAGTTGTGCATCTTAACACTCTGGAAAAGATTTTCCTTCTCTCTGAAAAAAAGAAATCCCAGAAGAAGCCCTGTTGCCTTCGTGTTTTTACATGTTGTGTTGGTGATACAGCAATCCTGTATTAGAAGATGGACTAAGGAGACCAAAATATTACTTTTTAAGTTTAAAAGCCCTATAAGGAAAGAAAACTACACACACCATTAGAGGTGATGGAGGCAATAAATTGAGTAAGTTACAAGTCAGACAAGCAACAAAAACCCAAAGATACTGTTGGATTTATATGAGGAATCGTTTAAATTGAAACATATTAATGTTAGAATGACAAAGTCAAAGTGCAGAACTACATCCAGCTCGGAATCTGTGATGAAAGATCCAACTAGAAGAGCTCAAGTTATTTCTTTTTCTCCAGATTTGCAATAATGATAGACATACACTTTATTGCCCAAACTATTCATTTATCTGCACTGACTCCCATATGACATCCCTTTCCTATTTGTTTAATGTGGAAGTTATGTCCCCTTGAAGGCAGCTGCGTCTCGGAACTTCCCTACCGGTTCTTTTCCTGGGGGCAAGTTATTTACTACTCTTAAAACCATGTAAAAAGGGACTATAAAAACAGGAGTAAAAAAGTAACAGAGTTTATTTCAGATCAGGTCAATACAGGACAGAGAAATTGCTTGGAGGATGCACAGCTGTGGGCTCAAAAAACGTCAGCAACCGTCCGGCAAAGATGAGCAAAGATTGAGCCCCGAACAAGGTCATCTCCTCCTTCTTATACCTCATGAGTCTATGTGTTGCATCATGTGGATGTTTAGCTGTCTGTATCTGAAACTGACACGCCATCAATGCCCTGAACTTTAAGCATCTTGCTTCTATGCCCAAGGATTACAGATACGTCTCCTCTATCAGTCTGGCTCCAAGATGTTGCCATATCCTATGTATTTCTAAAGACATAAAGGCTATCCTGATTTAATGACCTCCATACACACAGTGACATCCACAATGTGAAGGAAGGCCTTCTACTCTGTCTAATCTGGCTAACAGAATAACAATGCACATGATGTATAAAGAATAAACCTAACATAATCAACAGGGTTTCAATATTTCTCAGTCCATCGTTTGCTATTAGAACAGCCTAAACTAATCTTGGAAGGCTGTCCACAAGGATTAGGTGTGTGTTCATGTTAAACTATGACCATCCTTTTAAAAGTAAATTTGTGAGGTCAAACACTGACATTGGATGAGAAGGACTCACTCTATCTCTGCTCTAATACATCCTAATGGGATTCAGTCAGGTTGAGGTCAGGACTCCTTGCAGACCAATCAAGTTCATCCACACTAGACTCTGCCATCCATATCATGATCATGACCATCACACTCTCTCCAGCAAACTTTCACTTGGCACAATGCGGCCAGACAAGCACTGTTTTCCTGGCAACTGCCAAACCCACACTGGTATTTAACATTTTCCAAATGGAGAAGCACAATTCATTAATCCAGAGAAAATATCTCCACTGCTCTGGAGTCCAGTGGCGGCTGCTTTACATCACTGCATCTGATGCTTTGCATTGCACTTGGTGCTGTGCAGCTTGAATGCAGCTACTGGACCATAGAAACTTCTGCTTCCATGAAACTCTGTGATCTTGAGAAAATCTGAAGGCCACATGAAGGTTGGAGGTGTGCAGTGATTGACTCCCGCAGAAAGTTGCCGATGTCGTTGCACTATTAGCTTTAGCATCCTCACTTTGAGAGACCTAATACCTGAGTTGTGCCTGAGTTGTTTTCGTTCCACCTCACTTCCATCGTCTTAAGATACAGCAGACAGTTGACTGTGAAGTATTTAGGATCGAGGGAAATTCACATCTGGATTTGTCACAAAGATGGCATCCTATCACAGTTCAAAGCTTCACTGAGCTCTTGAAAGTAAGTCATTCTTTCACAAATGTATCTAACAAAAGCCTGTATAAATAGTTGCTTGATTTTAAAAATCTTTGGCTATGGAAGTGATTGGAACACCAGATTCTAATCATTTGGAAGGGTGAGCAAAAACTTATCGCAATAGTGTAATATATTATACCTCAGTGTAACTCCAGGGAAAGCAGGTTTTATAAAGTCTTTCAGGGGTGGAATTAATAAATGATGATGCTTTTTAGATTTATACAAAACATTAAAAATAAAGTAACAGTAAGAAGTTTTCTTCCTACTCCACAATAATGAAATAGTTTGTCTAGGTCTGTCACATAAAGTCCAGTAAGGTACAATATTAGAAGCTATGCAAAGTGAATCCAACCTACCTGCTGGGAGGTCATAACGGCAGGGCAGAGTGACCGCAGTTCCTGCCCACACACAGATCACCCTCCTCGAAAACGAAACACTCCACCTGCTCTGAATACCTAGGAAATACCAGCAGCTCTTATAATCCAGTATTTGGGATAGTAATTTAGGAACCAAAGTCCAAAGTCCAAAGCAATTTAATGCACCAACACATTCAACTCAATGACAGACTCAATTATAGGGCCATAAATCTGAATAAATTCCAGCATATTTCTTTTCCAATTTCACCTAAATTGCCATCTGCTGACAACAACATCAGCAAGCTAAATGTTAAATATTAGGTTAGAAAATAAGGGTCGATAACATGTCTTGTTATGCATCTAAGATGTTTTGAACATCAGATCTCAGGAAGCAGTATCCGCAAGTTAAGCAGAAAACATTCTCCTTGTGCAGCCATGGTGCCATCCTGTGCTGCTGACTGTTGGTCTGGTTGGCCTTGCACAAAAGACAATCGATAATTAGAAATAAACTGGATTGTAATGACAACGGCATCTAGCTGCAAAACCTTGTGAACATAATAGCAATCATTAAGGTTTAAAACTTAAAATTGTAAAAAAAAAAAAAATAAAATAAAAATGATTAAATGACTAAAACAGGAAAACTCCACATTCATTGTTTGGTTCTAGTTTTCAAAATGCAATGAAATAAAAAGTTTTCCAGGATTATGAAAAAGTCTCTCATACCTGGTGAAGCTGTGAGGATGATGCAAAGAAATAATACACCTGCCAACATCTCTGCTGACGTGAGCTGTTGGGTTATAATAAACACCAGATTAAAGCTGATCATCGCACTAATCCAACAAACACCATATCAAACTATTTAAATTTGTAGCGCTCACCCCTCACAGTATCTGCATCCACCTCAATTCAATTCAATTCAATTCAGTTTATTTATATAGCGCCAAATTCACAACACATGTCATCTCAAGGCACTTTACAGTTCAACCAGATCATACAGTCAAATTGATACAGAGTTTTCTATCTAAGGAAAACCAGTTGATTGCATTGACTCATTGACTCAAATACAATCCCCCACACTAAGCATGCTTGTAGCGACAGTGGAGAGGAAAAACTCCCTTTTAACAGGAAGAAACCTCAAGCAGAACCAGGCTCAGTGTGAGCGGCCATCTGCCGAGGCCGACTGGGGTTCAAGGAGACAGAAGCAGAGATACAAAAAGCAGCTGTAAAAGGCGGCCCCGTCCAGGAAACACACAGCCAGGCAGACGAGCTCCAAGGCAGCTCCCATGCCAGAGGACGAAGAGAGCACATCCACTCAGTCACGGTCAGAGAAACAGGACCACACTGGAAAACAGGCCGATCTCCAACATCTATAAACAAGGGTGTTTATAGAAGCAGCACAGCTGATGTTTCTTTCCAGGATGACGTCACAGCCAAACAGGAACAGACGAGGCAAAGCTACTCTGAGGAAAAGCAGAGAGAGCAGAAGGTTAGAGATTGAACTAACAGATTCTGCAGAATAGGAGAACAGAGAGAGAATGAAGCAGAATGATGAAATGGGGGTCCCTATGTCCTCCAAAAGTCTAAGCCTATAGCAGCATAACTATAGAGATAGCTCAGGATAACCTGAGCCACCCTAACTATAAGCTTTATCAAAAAGGAAAGTTTTAAGCCTAGCCTTAAAAGTAGACAGGGTGTCTGCCTCACGGACTAAAACTGGTAGTTGGTTCCACAAGAGAGGAGCCTGATAACTAAAAGATCTGCCTCCCATTCTACTTTTAGAAATTCTAGGAACCACTAGTAAACCTGCAGATTGAGAGTGAAGTGCTCTGTTAGGAACATAAGGAACAATCAGATCTCTGATATAAGATGGAGCTTGGCCATTTAAGGCTTTATATGTGAGAAGGAGGATTTTAAATTCTATTCTTGATTTAACAGGAAGCCAATGAAGAGAAGCCAGGATAGGCGAGATATGATCTCTCTTTTTAATTTTCATTAGAACTCTGGCTGCAGCATTTTGGATCAGCTGAAGGCTTTTAACTACAGTTTGTGGACTTCCTGATAGTAAAGAATTACAATAGTCCAGCCTTGAAGTAACAAATGCATGGACTAGTTTCTCAGCATCACCCCTGGACAGAATATTTCTAATTTTTGCAATGTTCCTCAGATGAAAGAAGGAAATTCTAGAAACCTCTTTGATATGGGATTTAAATGACAGGTCCTGATCAAAAATAACACCAAGATTTTTTACTTTATTATCTGAAATCAGTTTAATCCCATCCAAATGAAGTGACTGGCTAATCAGTTTCTTTTTCAGAGACTCTGGTCCAAAGACTATAACTTCTGTTTTGTCTGCATTCAGAAGCAGAAAGTTAAGAGTCATCCAGGTTTTTATGTCTTCAAGACATGCCTGTAATCTATGTAATGGGTTAGCTTCATCTGGATTTATAGACAGATATAGCTGGGTATCATCAGCATAACAGTGGAAATTAATACCATGCTGTCTAATAATTCTACCAATTGGGAGCATGTATAAAGTAAAGAGAATTGGTCCTAGCACTGATCCCTGTGGTACTCCACAGGTAACCTTTGAGCGTGTTGAAGATCTATCATTAACATGAACAAACTGAATTCGATCAGATAGATAAGATTTAAACCAGTCTAGTGTTGTTCCTTTAATTCCAACAAAATATTCAAGTCTTTCTAAAAGAATATTATGGTCAACTGTATCAAATGCAGCACTAAGATCCAACAGGACGAGCACAGATACAAGTCCATTATCTGAGGCCATGAGAATATCATTAGTGACTTTCACCAGAGCTGTTTCAGTGCTATGATGAGCTCTAAAGCCAGACTGAAACTCTTCAAAAAGTTCATTATGGTGGAAGTGATCGCAAACTTGTTTGGCAACTACTTTCTCAAGAATTTTGGATAAGAAAGGAAGATTGGATATAGGTCTATAATTGACCAAGTCATCTGGGTCAAGAGACGGTTTCTTAAGCAGAGGTTTAATTACAGCAACCTTAAAAGCTTTAGGTACATATCCCTGTAACAGAGATAGATTAATCACATCTAAAATGGAGGAGGAGATCAAAGGGAATACCTCCTTAAATAACCTGGTTGGAACTGGATCTAACATACAAGTTGAAGGCTTAGATGAAGACAATAATTTTGCTAATTCAGAGAGTTCAACTGGATCAAAGCAGTCTAAACCCGGTTCAGATTCCATGACTACCTCAGGTACAATCGCGGATAGAGGAGTGCTTATGATCTTATTTTTAATAAGATCAATCTTATTTATAAAGAATCCCATAAAATCATTGCTGCTAAGAGCAGGTGGAATGGACGGTTCAACAGAGCTATGGCTCTGGGTGAGTTTGGCAACTGTATTAAAAAGAAATCTAGGATTATTCTTATTCTCCTCTATTACTGAGGAGAAGTATGCTGCTCTTGCTTTACAAAGGGTCCTCTTATACAGCAGTAAACCATTTTTCCAGACTAGGAAGGACTCTCGCAGGCCTTTGGAGCGATATTTTCTCTCCAGTTTCCTAGCATTTTGCTTTAAAGTACGCAGCTCTGCATTAAACCAAGGAGCAAGCTTTCTATTTTTAACGGTTTTCATTTTCAAAGGAGCTGCGTTGTCTAAGGCAATACGCAGAGAACTAGCAACCCCATCAACAAAATCATCAACCTGTGAAGGGGAATAAGCTAAGCTTTTGCACTCTGCAGCACTGCTCAGTGACACAGAGGAGAGAGAAAGTGAAGCAGATTCTTTAAAATTTATAACTGCACTATCTGATAAAGATCTACTAAAATTGAACCTTCTTTTGGGGGAGGAGAACTCTGTTAAAGTAATCCTGAAGGTTATTAGAAAGTGGTCAGAGAGGACAGGGTTGTGAGGAAATACTATTATTTCTTCACATTCTATGCCGTATGTCAGCACAAGATCCAAAGTATGAAGATGAGAATGCGTGGGACTATTCACATTTTGAACAAAGCCAATAGTGTCTAAGATAGCATTAAAGGCTGCTCTTAAGCTATTGCCTTCAATGTCAGCATGGATGTTAAAATCTCCCACTATGATGACCCTGTCAGTTTTTAATACCAAATCAGAAAGGAACTCTGAAAACTCATCTAAAAATTCAGAGTAAGGACCTGGTGGACGATACAAAGTTACAAAAAGAAGAGGTTTTCTTGCCTTGAAATTTGGATCAGGGAAATTAAGGGTTAAATGTTCAAAAGAGTTGTAGGTATTAATTGTTTTGGGAGTAATCAGTAAGTCAGACTGGAAGATTGTTGCTACTCCTCCTCCTCGCCCAGAACTTCTGGGGATGTGAAAATTTAAATAGCTTGAAGGAGTTGCCTCATTTATGCTCACATAATCCTCTTGCTGCAGCCAGGTTTCTGTAAGGCAAAACAAGTCAATGTGATTATCACAAATCAAGTCATTAACTAGTAGACTTTTAGAGGAAAGCGATCTTATGTTAAACAGACCGCATTTCATTGTTTTAACTTTTTCCCCAATTGGAGTTATTTTGATTTTAATTAGATTATCATGATTTACTCCTTTGCGAATCTTTGCTAATTTATTAGATTTTGGTCGTGGGCAAGACACTGTCTGGATGGAGTAAAGAGTGGGTAACAGTAGAGAAGCTGCAGAGATGTGTGTTAAACTACAACTCTGCTTCCTGGTCTGCACCCTGGGTGGTCAGGGTTTTGGAGGACTAATAAATGTGGCCAGATTCCTAGAAAGAAGAGCTGCACCATCCAAAGTGGGATGGATGCCGTCTCTCCGAATCAGACCAGGCTTTCCCCAAAAGGATTGCCAATTATTAATGTAGCCCACGTTGTTTTCAGGGCACCACCTAGACAACCAGCGGTTGAATGACGACATGCGGCTAAACATGTCATCACTGGTCAGATCAGGGAGCCTCAGAGCCTGGATGTTCATGCTCCCTCCTGACAGTGATGGAGGTGATGAGGTTTTATACGTTCAGAAGAGGCTCATTGTCTCACACCAGCTGCTGCTGGATGGGAGGAGGAGGAAGGGGTGGTCAAAAGAAGGAGTCTAAAGAGGAGGAAGTGTATGATATAAACTGAGGTCATTTATCTCCTCCTCTTCAGTTCCTTGAACAATTTCTACTGTTACTTATTATACCACTGTCTTCCATTGGAAACTGCATCTGAAGGTCAGTTAAAAAAAGAAATGAGCCTTTGTGCCAAAGTGAAATTGTGACATCCATGTGATCACATCACTTCCACACTGTTTCAGTGAAAAGAGTCTGTGCTGCAAGTCAAATGTCATTAACCTGTAGTTCGTGCAGGGCCGGCCCGAGGCTAATCGAACTAAGAAACATGCATAAACATGCACCTTATCAGGATATTTAACTTAAGGGATTAGGCATTTCATCTCTCTTATTCTACTGTGTTTACATTATTTGAGAAAAAAGGGTAAAGCAAGAATACAGAAGAAAAAGATGTGCTTTAATTTAAAGGCACATCTCCCAGTCTCCCCTGTTTTTAAGACCTACTAAGCAAAGTAAACCTCACCTCAATGTTATATATTCACATGAGAATCAAGAGCTCATAGTTCTCAAAAGCAAACGTTCCTACCAACTGATCAACCTAAATAAAAGAAGTTTTTATCCAAATTTGTATAAAAGCACTAAATGGGAAGTACAGTAGAGGTGCAGATGAAAAAGGTTTAAACAGTTGATACCTGAGGATTAAAACAGAAAATCAAAAATAATTCCATTTATCTGGTGGTAATATCAGCTATTGATGCATATGTTATATAGGGGAGGATGTTCTTTTCTGGGTGGTTCATTAAAATAATTGGTCCTCCTAATTGTCAATCATTCTGGTGATATATTTACGTAAGGCCCACATGCAGTACCTCTGTAAA